CGATGCAAACAGGCTTATTAACTTTTAGTGTTTATATAATAAATTAGTATACTAGAAGAGGGGAGAAAGATATATGTATAAGTTAAGCAAAACAAAGAGATAGGGAGTAGTAAGGATTTAGTTCAAGTGAAGTGTATTAAAGAAGAAGATCAAAAAAATACTTTGTCTTTAGAAGATGATATTCAACAAAGATGGATGAGATATTTTGCTAAACTTTTTAATGAAGATTGTGAAAATAAGATTGACTATAGTGACCTTAGCACCCTAGAGCAAACTAAAGATTTATGTTTTTACCGCCCGTATTAGTAAAACTGAAGTTTAGAGAGGCTTTAAAGAAAATGAAGGGTGGAAAAGCTGTATTGGACCTATGATATTCAATAGAGGTGTGGAATGCTTAGAGATGAAGGAATTTCATGGCTTACAAAACTTTTTAATACTATTTTGAATGACTTAGAAGATGTCAGATGAGCTGGAGAATGCAGTGTGTTAAATTCCTATTTTATGAATAAAAGTGATGCACACAGATTGTGCGAATTATAGAGGTATAAGTTAATATGTCATACTTAACTATGGGAGCGAGTTATTGGAGCATAGGTTCTGCGGCGTTGATACTAATGTTTCTCAAAATCAATTTGGATTCATGCCGGTAGGTCGACTATGGAAGCCATACATTTATTAGAGGATTTGATGCGAACAATATTAGAGAAAGATAAGAGAGAATCTACATATGCTATTTATTGATTTAGAAAAAGCATATTATTAAAGTTTCCAAAGAGAAGTGCTAGTAGAGATTCTTGAAAAGGAAGGAGTCATATGCTATATTCAAATCATTAAGATATGTATGCAGGGAGACTTGTGTTCAAACACAAGGTGGGTTGACCAAGTATTTCCCTATTTCGGTTGGGTTACATCAAGGATCAGCCTTAACCATATCTTTTGCTTTATCATGGATTGTTTCACTAGACATTTGCAAGAGGATGTACCCTTGGTGTATTGCTTTTGCTTGATCTCTCTCTTGTTGGGGTGCGCTGGTGAAAGCCGCTATCCTTGATGGTTGATCGTATGTAGGATCTAATATGCCCTTCCATTGGCACGCTTGCGAAGAGCGCGGAGGCCTGCGATCGTCTCTATCCCTCAGGGTGGTGCGGTCGTATACCCCTCTGCCCTTTCTACCGCGACGAATCTCTTTCGGAGTTCCATAATCAACTAGGCCCATGTAGGATCTAATATGCCCTTCCATTGGCACGCTTGCGAAGAGCGCGGAGGCCTGCGATCGTCTCTATCCCTCAGGGTGGTGCGGTCGTATACCCCTCTGCCCTTTCTACCGCGACGAATCTCTTTCGGAGTTCCATAATCAACTAGGCCCAAAGGGTGAGGGAGTTGAGCCAAGGATGAAGTGGATTTGGTTTTAATTGAATTTAGGCTCATTAGGGCTTAATAGGTCAACCTGGGTAGACTTGGTCAACCAGGTTGACCTAGGGCAGGGGTCTAGGCCCAATAGGTTGAGTCTAACCCATTGAGTCCAAGGGAGGTTAGATTTGAGCTAAGAAAGGTATGGAACTGATTTGAAATCAAAAGGAAAAGAGATTGGGTCAATTTGGGCCAACCTGGATTAACCTGGTCAACCAGGTTAACCCAGGGCCTGGGTATGGGCTCAGCAGACTTGGCTTGAACCACTGAACACAAGAGAGGTAGTCTTGGGACCTGGCTTGGTCAATTTGACCAGGTCAACCCTTTGACTTAAGAGTTTAGGTGAAAAGAAGGTCAACAATACTATTCAAATGCTAAAATGTATCACAATGCATTTAACTTTAAAATAGCATAAAAGAATTTTGAATTTGAAGAATTAAATGTACTTACCTAACATATATGTGAAATTTACCATTTTCTTTTCAATGCCTTTCCTCTCCCACTTTGAAATCCTACAAATGGTATAACTTCGATCATCTCATATGAACCTTAAATCATGTTTATTAAAAGAAAAAGTCATGTAGTTTAACATTAATCCTAATTCTTAATTGTCATTAGCATTAAGGCATACCTGAATGCCATTATAATATTTATCAATTGTCATTTATCATTAACATAAATTCTTAATTCACTTTAACATTTTTCTTAATTATAATCATCATTATAATGTAATTATTTTCGGATTTAATTATATCTTAAATTTTAAAAATTCATATTTTGGTAAATTCCCACATTTTACCCTTCCTAATTCATTCAAATTACATATGTAAATTAAAAATGATGTTATTTTTCGGTTTTACCCTAAAGCCCTAAAATCGGAAAACAATTTTCCCTATTTTCCTTACATTTGCATGTTAAAACATTTCCCTTAACCTAATTAATAATTAAACATAATTTTTTTTTGGATTTCCTTCAATAAAAAATTAGGAAAAATGAAAAATTATGTCAAACCTAATTTTACCCTAAAAGAAACATTCCTAAGGCTATTAAATTTGGGTTAAGGAGTTACCATTAAGTGTTCGTACATGCTTTTCCTCTTAAAATTTGTAAGATTGGAAAAAAACCTAATTCGTCAACTTAAGCAAATCTAAACAAAATGGGAAAATTTTGGTATTAGAAACTTACCTTCTTCTTCTTTAAATTTTTTCTCTTCAATCCCTCTCTTCCTCTCTCATGTTTGGCCGCATGCAACAAGAAGGGAACGAAATATTTCGGTCCCTTTAAGGCATTTAGGGCGATGAGGGTAATGGGAAAGAGCGATTGACGCATGTGCCCTTCCATGCATGAATTCTATTAAGAGTTAGGGAGGGCTATTTAGTCATTTAACCTTAACTAATCTTCATCGGTTTTTAACTTTAAATTCATGTGAAATTAAGCATAAATTTTTTTTATAACAAATCACTCAAAATTTCACGTAGAATTTTATAAAATTGATTGCGTCGAATTGTGACAACTTCAAAAATTCGCCTAATTTTGCCGCGGCGCATTGAAATGCATGCGACACTTACGATCGACATTTTCGGGTTTTACAAAAGCTGCTATACATGCTTCCTGATCTTGCACCTTCAAAAAGCTTAAAAAGCCCAAGATAAACCTATTCAGCTTTCATAGTTTTGCATATATCCTGAACATGTAACATTTTCATAGAAACTAAATTTACCTTTCCAGGTTTAATTCCACCTTCCTTCATCTTGCTAAATAATAAGGATGCATCTTGTATCCTACCTACAAAATTGAGAAGAGATAACAAGAATTCACTTTAAATGCACTTTAGTTGACCACGGATCTATGGTGTGATCTTAAGAAACTCACCCCACTTTCCATAGTAGCTCATCATGTTGGTGTATATCTTCTCATCTATTGAAGGACTCAATGCTAGTGCATCGTTGAACATCTCAATAGCCCTGCTCAACTTCCCTCCTTGGCCAAATACACTAAATTATTGAAGTGAAAAGCACTCCTTTATATGAGAGGAATGAATAAACTTGAAAAACGTCCTACAAAGTAATGCCTCACAAAACAACAAGCAAAGGACAATATAATCAACTACCTAATCATTGTGTTATATGTCTGAAGGGATGGAGGCACACCTGCAGCAATCATTCGATCATAAATGTCAATAGCAAGTTGCAATTTACCTGTCACCAAATCAATTATTTTAGCTCACATACATCAGCCTAACAAGACATATTTCCTAAGCATGTAAAATTTCAATTGAAGGTTATGGTCATCAGACCTGAATCTAGCATTGCCTTAATAAATGTATTGTAGGCCACAGTATCAAGTTCAGCAGCTGTATCGAAACTGCCAAAAATTAACCATTCTGCCTTCTGAAACATGCCTATAAGGCACATAAAGAGTGGTTAGTATTCTTACTGATGCAGAAATGTAACAGATGGTAGAAAAAATGATTATGAACCATTCCATGTATGTAAATTCATTTAGGATTTAGTTCCATTCCACCGTAATGATCATAATAACAATATATTTTCTCCAACAGAAAATAAGCCTAATGCATAGACAGGAAGTGCAGCATGATATCCCCGAGCATATGATAATCTTTGAAATAGATTAAAATAAAAGAATGCATACAAAAGCATTGTTTAAACTATCAGATCAAGATTTAGAGATAACACATCAATAAGGAACTTTCCGAAAATACATCAAGAGAGATTGGTGCCATAACAACACAGTAATTTCAGCGGCTTAAATGAAAACATCAAAGTGGAGGGAAAAAAAGTCAAAAGAAGATAAAGCTTAGTTTGTGATAAGCCCATATAGTTTTTGCTTAAGAATTGCACATTCAGCAAGTAAAGTTAGTTGTTTAAATTTACAAGATAGTTACTTATTTTATAAATTAATTATTTTTATTGAGTAATCTATCTTTCCCTCTCCTTTTTCTCACTCATCCCTCGTTTCTACCGAGCTGTTGGCAAGATGTTCTAAATCCTTAAACATATACTTAGAAGATCTAAGCATACCAATGAAAGGTCATCTTTAAGAAGACCACTTCTACATGAATTAGACTCAAGAAATATTTCAACATCGTAAAAGGTCAAAAGTTAAGTAAGCCAGGTAGTTGGTGAAACAAAGGGATTGCAAAGAAGTATTTCCCTCGGCTTAAATTTAAATTTGCAAGTGAAAATGAAATAAAAGGGGTAGCTATCGACCAGAAGGTCACTTTAATAGTAATCTCAAGGGACAGCAATCTTAACCCTCTTAATTTTGGATCATAAATCAACCCCAACGAATATTGAAAGTTTATAACAGAGTTCCATAAAAGCAGCATGTTTTCCTATGGCAAGTCCAGCAAATTATCAATAAACCTATGCATCCGGCAAAGAAATGGGTGACAGGAAGCACTCTGCCTCATAGGAAGTTATATGTATACATATAGTAAAAACTTCTTGAAACAGCAGGCCTAAGGTTTAAAATAGGATGCCCTACATAGAAAGCTCTTTTTTAGCTACTCTTGAAACTTTCCGTTTTCAAGGAAAAACACATCTGCATATTCAAGACTTTCTTTCCTATTCATCATTTGGTTATTTTCGAACATGCATACATATTCAAGACTTCCTTTCCTATTCATAATTTGGTTACTTTGGTAGCATGCATTATTCAGATTTCCTTGGGAGAGTTTACTTTTTTTACTTTTGCTCAATCAGAAGATAAGTGAAATAATAGTTTCTGCTTAAAGTGTTAAGTAGAAAACATAATTTTACAATGCATTTTCAGCAGTCATTAAGCAAAGAAGGCATCTTTAAGCTTTCTGCAACAGATATCAATGGGTAGTTTCTGAAAGAAAGGACAATAAAAAGTATTTATGAGTGAAACATAGCTTGGCTGAGTATCTAATCCAGACAGTTTACAATGAAACTTAACAGAAAGAGTGCAATGTTACAGCGAAAACTTCTTTCCAAATATAACGGCAATTAAATATGTTAATGGATCTCATATCTGCAGTTATAGGTGAAGATGATATGACAGAAGCAAAAGCTTAAGAACAATTATCAAGAGACAAAAAAAAAAAAAAACTGAACTATATAGGTATAAGCACCGGATGATGAAGCTATGATGGTCGCATATTATTCTAACAATGATGGTGTACCTTACCTGCAAGCTGCATCAGAATAGTATCCAAACTAGGATGTACTTAAACAATAGACGCAATTCAAAATCTTGAATGTACAGCCTACTATTTAGAAGGCATACCATGTTTACTGAAAGCATTAACTAGAATACTAATTGCAACAGCATCTGGAGCATGCCCTTTCTCAATCATTTCCTTGTACAGAAGATCAGCTTCATGAAACTTGTGACATTTGCAATAGGCGTCAATCATAGAGGTATAAATAGATTTATCAATCATAGTGGAGTGACAAGCCAATGCGTATATTTCTAAAGCTTCTTTTAGCTTCTGATGCTGACCACACAAATTAATTACAGAAGCAATTGCTTCATCGTCAAGTTTGAAACCCAGATCAACTGATCGCTCATATATCCATTTGGTCTCAACAACACATCCTGAAGGAAACAGCTTACCTTAGTTAATAAGTCACTAAAAATAACAACAAAGTATTCTCAAAGACATGCAAATGTAGACTCCATACCTTCCCTAACTAACTTTATCATAAGTCGACTAGCTATTGACAAGCCATTAGCTGTCCCCAAAAGAGATTTAAGCATTTCTGCAGCCTTACAGATGTCACCATTTTTCAAATATGAGCGAAGCATTACACCACGTGCAGCAGCATCTGGTTGCTCAAAGGTCTTTAGCAGGTCTTCTGCAAGCTGAAATGCCCCAACTTCTCCATACAAGGTAATCAAAAGCATCTTACTTTGGTTATCCATTCCCATTCCCAAACTCTGCATCTGATCCACCAACTGCTCGGCATCAGTCACCATCCGCTCTCTACAATATATTTCCAAAACGTTCCTGTAAAGGTCCCTGTCAAATGGCACCTCGTATCTTCTTATTTGACAGATCAAAGCTTTGGCCTTCTCTAGAATACCTAATTTAAGATACAATGTAAGCATTTCGTTGTAGCAGATTGCATCAGGAGATGCACTCCTGCAAAGAGTTTGAAATGTCAATTCAGCAGCCCCTACATCTTCCTTGGCAATGTAACACCTAAGGAAAGCACTATATGCAAATTTGGACAACTCAACATTTCTTAACCTCATAAGATTCAAAACCTCTAAAGCCTTGTCAAAGTTTCCAGCGTTTAAATGGACCTGAGCCATTGCCACATATGTTTTCTCATGGGTAAGAAGACCCAGCCTTTTAATATCCTCAAAAGTTCTCTGAGCATCCTCATACAGGCCAAGTTTTCCATATATCCTAACAAGTATTCCATATATTACTTCATCAGGGACAATTTTATTCCTCTCCATTTCTGAAAACATAGAGAGAGCTTTAGAGTAATCATCATTTTTGTAATGCAGCGCCAGAACTGAAGCCAAAGTATAGACACTTGGAATAATGCCTTGAGGTTTCATTTCTTCATAAAGTCTTAGTGCCTCATCATCTCTGTCATGTTTAGCAGTTACGATGATCAAAAGGCTATAAGTTGACTCCTCAGGGATGAAACCAGCTTTTTTCATTTTTCTAAATGCACCAAGAGCATCATCGAGAAGGTTTTTCTTTACAAATGAACATATTGTAAGAGTATAAGTAAAACCATTTGGTTCTAGTCCAGCTTCCAAAATCTGCTTCCATAAGTAGATAACCGATATATGAATTTTTTGCTTATGGAAAGAGGACATCATGAAATTAAAAACTGCAATAGAAGGTAAGATATCTCGCCTGCGCACTGCAGAATAAAATGTCATCATAGGTTTTTGTCTGCCCCACCTAGCATAAGCACAGAGCATCGTACCACAAGCAACTTCATCTGGCTCACAGCCAGCTTCGAGCATCTCCAAAAATATCTTTTCGGCAAGTCTAATCTTTCCAACTTGGCCATATGTTCTAAGAAGGATAGTGTACACAATAACACTAGGTTTGTAGCATAACTGCATGAAAAAAAGGTAATGACAACATTCGACTTTAGTTCAGTTGCAAATCAAGCATAATTGACAATTAAGTACAAAATTGAAGAATCAAAATACAGTACCAATGTATAGTAAGAACTAAGCACTGAACTAGCAAGGATAAGAAAATTACTAATACTTTTAATCTACTCAAAAAGTCATATGAAAAATTGTAGAAGTATTAGCAGTTTTATTTCATGGTTCTATCCGGACTGTGGAAAGCCTACTGTTAATTTAAACGGGCTTGAAGTGTGTAGACTAAAGTCCAGAACTGAGTACAATTTAATTCACAGTTCATATTGCAAGAATTAAAAAAAAAAAAACTATTACTATCAGCAGTTCTTCTCACTGAAATAAGTAATAATAGCAAAAAAAAAATTCTTAATCAACTGCAGTTATGTCAATGCAGTTCCTATCTTACAAACTTTTTGGGCATACTGTCATTATGTTCAGCATGTTCCAAATCAAACTATGAAAATTAAATTTAAGGAGACGTTGGAAAAATATCATTGCGCAATAAAATCATGAAGGATTGTGGTTTTCTCTAAAAATGAAAAATATATGTAACACAGTGCAAACTGAAAAAAATAAGAAACAATGCCAAAAACCAGAGCTACCACACATGAAGGATTGTGGTTTTCTCTAAAAATGAAAAATATATGTAACACAGTACAAACTGAAAAAAATAAGAAACTGCCAAAAACCAGAGCTACGACACATTTTGTGGGATGTTTAATCATTGAGGCTTCCACCATGACATTTAGCATGCACATCATAGAATAGATGGGCAGTAAAATTTATAATTAGTTAGCATAAATTAGAATGTTAAAACCTCCTTAAGGCTAAATGATGCCGACAGCAGCAGAGTTAAATCTTCCATCCTTTTGCCATGAGTTTAAATGCTATAAAAGAGCAAGGAGCCGTATGCTAGTAAAATAGATTGGTAGGGGGATGGCCAGTGAGGTATAGAGGGATGTAAGAGGGTTAAGTAGAGAGAGTGAGTTATGAATCTGGTTGAAAGGATTAGAGAGAGAGAGAGAGAGAGAGAGAGAGAGAGAGAGAGAGAGAGAGAGAGAGAGAGAGTTTCAACAAGGGACGTGTGAGGGGAATAGAGTGACCGAGATGATTTAGAGAAATGAAGCTCAAGAAATTTTATTCAATCACAATTCATTACAACAAAACAAAGATTTAACTAACCGCATGCCTGGTACGCTGTGACCATGTATGTTCAGCCATTAAAGTCTAGAATAGCAAGAAGATCTACGTATAGACTGTATGTGTCAGATCTGCTTAACTAAGACAAAAATTTGGAACCCATTTATAATTATTTTTGGCAAGCCTAGGACTTGTCTTTGTTGTATAAATGGATAAAATCTGTGCAACAATTTAATGTTAATATACTAATGATTTACCTTTTACAGTCTGTCTTTTAGCATTTGGGCTGGCCATTTTTCTTAGCTACCGGTAGTCTCACCTAGAAATCCAATAGCTTGTCTACCATATCAACGTAAAAGAAGGTACCAAGTTCCCGAAATTTCATACTTTTCTATCAAAGAAACGGCTCCAGGAATCATGATTTAAGGAATAACTACCAGAGTAGATTGAGAGAAGAGACCACCTGGAGAATGCATTTTTGCTTGCTAGATTGAGAAAGAAAAAAGCAGGATGAACTACTTAACTCATTACAGTCAAACTACAAGTTCACATAAGATACAGATAATTGGAAACTTTTTAATCAAGACTAACAAATTTGAACAATTTCTCATCTGTCAAAAGGAGCTAAAAATTTTAACCCCAAGCACCCGAAAACAAAATTTGCAAGGATGATTAAAAAAGAAAGCGGAGGAAGAATAATCCAACCACGGACCTGCAATTTCATCCAGGCAAAGAAATCCCGAGCCTGGCGCCACCCTCTCTGCTCCCTGAGCACCACGCACATCTCCCGAAATGTAAGCTTAGCAACAAACGACCTCATCACTTCCCTCATGTCGTAGGAACCCTCCGGCCTCCCGGCCAGCGACCTCACCGCCTGGATTGCCGCCAGCACGTGCCGTCCATGCGCCTGCCCCTCCAGCCGACCATCCTCTACCATCCGCGCCATCTGCTCCGGCGTCCGGCGAATCCACCGAGGCATCTCAGCGAGGGACCCTTGATTCCGACGCAAACGCCGGAGGTACTGTGCCTTCTCGTGGATGATGCGGCGAGCATCGTCGTCAGATAGCGGCTTACGAGGATGGAAGTTGGGAGGCGCCTTCCTGGTCCTTCGCTGGCTGCCGCCGGCGTTTCCATCGCTCAGAGTCCAAGACCTCGGTGGTTGGGCAGCGGCGTGGATAACGGAGAGCTTGCGTGGTTTGGACGAACATTGGTATTTCGGTGGTGGAATCGGGGAAGGTAGTAAAGGGGGAAAGAAGGAAGTTTGGATGGATTCCATATTTCCATTCATGAATGGGCGTTTAGGCTATGAGCTTCCAGCGGAAGCGTGAAATATGTATTTTGGTTCCTTATAGAGATATTTACAGGAATAGGATGAAGACGATGTCACGTGCACCCCAAGTGTGTTATATCTGCCGCTGGCTTAAGGAAATATTAAATTGTACGCACATAAATTTTAAAATTTTAAAGTAAAAATTTACACATATATCATCTTATATCATTCTATTTATATATACTAATATCTAAAATTCAAATATTACACATATCACCAATAAATCAAATATAAATGTTAAAAATAAAATATTAAAATTTATAAAATTGTATAGATAGTATGAATGAATTATATAAGTAGCATATTTGATATCAAAATTATACATGAATAATAGGAATGAAATATTTAAATTTTAAATGTTATATTTGTAAATAGAATTATATAAGATAACATACCCTTTTTTTAATTTGAAAAAGAAAATCTCAAGCTTTTTCAATTGTCATAAATTTAAAAATTAGTATTATAAAAAAATATATGAGTAAAAAAATATAGTCCGAAGAATATTTAAAAATGAGCATAAATATAAAAACTTTTTATTAAAAAAATCTAGTTTAGGGATTTTTCTTTAAAAAACGTAGAAAATTTTGCATTTTTAATAAAACTCAAAATATTTACGAGTTTTTCTAAGAAAATGTAAAAATATTTTATATTTTTTGGAGTAAACTTCTAATCATTTCTTAAATTAAATTAATTAAAAAATAATTATTTTAAATTAAATTAATTTGTAGTTAATTACTTTATAAATTAATTTAATTCATCATAAAATTTTAATCAATATAACAAATTTTTTCTAATAAAAAATTATTATTAATATTTACATATTTATTATTAACTATAATGGATTTTATTGATGGAAATTATGCTATAAACTATAATGTTATAACTAAGGTGAAGATTATTTTTATAAACAATATCGTTGCATTTAAACTCCTCAAAGAAGTCCAAATAGTTGCATTCAAACTATTTTAATTAATCTATACTATTAGAGAGTTAATTGAGATTTCATAGCGAGAATTTCACATATAAATTTAAAAGAAAAACTACGATCCTCAATTTTAGCCAATCAAAAGAATAATTGATAATGTGATAACTAAGGCTTTATCCTCAATTTCACATATAATTCTGGTTAATCTCCGAACATTATTTGCCATCCACATAGAATAATTAATCCACTAGAGCTCAGTTTTTGACTTACTAAGATTATGAACCTCTGAACTCTGAAGGATGATGCTAGCCCAACGGAGAATGAAGTTCTTAATTAGCACCCTCCATATACCCTTCTAATTGGGATGGGGCATTAGATCGAACACCTTGTAGGCAAGACCAGGAGCGGCTGGAACCCTTCCAAGGTATAACTGCTACTCTATATTTGAGGCGAATGACCTACAGCAGAGCAGCTAAGATGATGGAGAGGAAGCGTTTAGGGAAGTGGAGCAAAAAACCAACTGCAATAGCATCATGCAAACCCAGCTGATAACCAGGATCAAAGTGAGCATGCTAGAGGCTTGACGCAAGCTGATATCAATTTGTGCAGAAACTATTCTCTGCGGAGGCCGGAGGCCGGACGCAGAATGCTATCTGAAGACCAACCAGAATACCTCACGTCAATGGCACCGAGCTATACCGAGCCGCGGTACCGAGCCACGGTACCGAGCGAATGGTTGACTTGGCACATTCTGGCTGGTCTCCGGACATCGTTCGACATCCGCATAGAATAATTAATCCACTGGAGCTCAGTTTTTGGCTTACTAAGAAAATGGTTTATGCAAATTTAATTGTTGGTATTTTTAGATTGATAAGTTTTTGAAGGAGAAGTGCATCATCGTATGTTTGTATTAGAAATACTAAATTTGTAATTCTCCACAATCAAATTATAGTGAAATCTAAAACACAGGTAATAATATTAATAAGATGTAACCTTCAATTGAATAAACATACATGAAATTCTTATATATATAATTCTATATTCTTAACCTTATCTCAGAACCTGCAAGATCCCCCTTTACCCGTTCTCCTTACTTGGAGGAAATGAGTTCAAATCCTTACCTTTGCTGCAGCTTCCCTGATCTGCTCTATTGTGAAAACGCCAAAGAAGTCGTCGTCGATAACTGCATTTACTGCGGCAAAAGCAACATCATCAACACTCACAGGAGGTGCCAAGAGATCAGAACCAGGAAGAGAGTACAGGGGCTTGATAAATCCCTCGGAGGCCAGCAGTAGCCTTTCCAATGGTTCCCCTATCAGATCAAGAGGAATCTCAAAGCCATTTACTTTACGTTTCCCATATATGAATGCGGGTCTTAGTACAACACCTGAATTTGAAAACAAAATTAGAAATCACCTTAATAGCGCAGATTACCATGGTGGTTAAGCACTAAAAGGTAAAATCCATTTGTAACAACCTGAAGTTGGGTACTTCGATAGAACCTCTGATTCAGCTTTTCTCTTTCCAGTGAAGTAGCCAGAGGAGAGTAGAAAGGAAGGAAGATTGTAGTCATGAACAGAGATCAGCACAAACTTTGGGACACCTTCATGAAAAAGAATTTTTGATGCCATAATTGCAGAATAAAAAGAATTTTTCTTAACTATTAAAAGATTTTTACCATAATCCTTGGCAGCACCTACAGCCAAGATGTTGGCCTCCCCGTTAATCCTCTTCATTTGCTCCTCATTTCCAAATCCTCCAAGAGTTGATACAACTGCAGTTGCTCCAGCCAAAACTTCATCCCAACGTACATAGAAGACATCTCCTGCATGAACAGTTTTCAACTCAATGTAACACTAAAATGAGACGCTAGGTTTCAAGCTCTTTTCAAGGAATGAGCCTCAAATATACAAGAATAGACGATGAATCAAGTAATAAATTAGAAACAGATGCAATAGAATCTAAAAGCCTTAATATTTTGTTTTTGGACAATCTTGAGGAGAGAATAAGAGCTTTCCCCGTGATTCCTCCGTTTTTCCGTTTTTCGGTTTGAAACTGAAAACTCATTTGACAGAACATGTTTGGATGTGAGGTATACTTTTTCAGAAACTCCATTTCTTTACTATTTTGAGAAACAGTATGTTTTAGCTTCTCCATTTAAAAAACTCCATTTCTACTATTTGCGTTTTTGAAACCGAAATGGCAAATAAATCAAACAAAGCCTAAAAGTAAAAGAGAAACACGTTTCTAACAATGATGTGTACTAGGTGTTAAGAAAGCTGTACAATCAGCCTGAGAGCTTGTTTGAGATGGCTGCAAAAATCTCTAAAATTAATTGCGGAATTGCTGGATAAAAATCAAAGCTTTTAAAATTGTTATGGAAATTGTACTTTTTTTTGAAACAATTTTCTCTTAGCTACCGCTCGAGGAGATTTAATTGTAAAAAGCTCCTAATCATAAAAATTTTTTACAAAAAGTATAAAAGTTATAGCCAAGCAAAGATATGGCAGCAGTCTGCAAAACATTCTTCTGATGCTTTAAGATGGCCTAAAGAATTTGTATGTGATTTACGACCCTTTTTTTTGGAGATCTCAAAATCTATTGCCACACTGTAAGCTTATTACTCTGGATATTCTGTAATAAATAAAGCAAAAGGCAATCTGATTGAATCCTATATCTGAGTTCACTTTCCGGCCTAAAATCTGTCATACTTTAAACTCGTGTGCCAGTAAAATCCAAGTTTTTCTATAGCTTATTAATCAAGTTATTAACCACATTAAAACAAATGTAAATCAAAATTGGTAAGAAAACAAAAAAAAAATTTACAGAATGTAAAAAGAAAGGTAGAGCAAAGCCAAAGGGAGATATTTGGCCCTCTAAGATAAACAAAATAGATAAAAATATTAAGTAAAAAATTTGCAGGAAAAAAAGCCGTGAAGAAGACAATGAAAATTGAAACTATCACCAAACAATTAAAAAAAAAAATCAAATCAAAGGAATTGATATTAACTAATTATTGGAGACTAAAAAGGTATTCATCTAAGATGCCCCTTCGCTAAAAGGACCGCCAAGCTTTCAAATATGCTCACCAATTTGAAATGAACTGAATATGCAGGCAGAAGGCATTACTCATGTGCTTCCTTGCCACACCAAAAATGGAAGGCGACCAAAAACAATTTCCAAACTTATAATCAAACATATGTACCTTAAAGAGCTGAATGCTTGCTGCAAAATACCTGAAAATACAGACAAAGCAAGACAAGTACTGCAGCAGAGGTTTTACTCCAACACAAGAGAACAAATTATGAAAACATGCCATGATGTATTTACTAAAATGCACAGATAACTATATTTGTCTGTGCATCAGAGAGGGAAAGAAAGGATGCGGAGAGGGAAGAGAGGGAGCAATATGAAGGCAAGAAAGGACAGGGAAGAATAGCCGGATAGAAGAGAGGGAAGGAGTGTAATATCTGGCTTTAATAAGAGCCGGCTGGTTCAAATGAACCGGCATTTTTCCGCAATAGAGAGGAGCCGAGGCAGGGTTGCGATCCAGACATACTGAGTGGATGTCGCCCGCTTGCATAAAACCCCAAGCGAAGTCGGTTTGGGGTTATGAGCGAAGAAGTGCGTACGGGAGTGAAAGGGAACGACTTCTCGTGAGTAAAAAAGAACGACTCCTCGTGAGTCATATCTTTAATTCAATATCATATCAAAGTATTATACATAAATAACAAGAGTACAAGACTAAATCAAATAATGTGCTATGATGACTGTAAAAGAATATGGAATAGGCTAGTGCAAATGGGAAAATAATATATACATATACAAAAAAAAGCCTAATTTAATTCTATATATAGATGCCAAAAAAAAATAAAGTCATAAAATATGTAAATGACAACAATGTATAAACATAGGCAATCCATCTGCTCTTAGCTCCCATCACCTGAATCAAATTGGAACATATCATGTATGTATTGGAAAAGATTCGCCTGGGTGAAGGTTTGCACTTGATAGAGAACATTTATTGTGCATGCAAAGCTTTCCTAAACTAAAAGTGCGGTAAAAGAATTCTAGTATTAAATGGATCCATCACAACATCACACTAACAACCTGCAAAGAAGCCAAATACACTTCACCGAAAACAAGAAAGCATAAAATTGGCAAAATGAATAAAGAAGCTTTCCACTGATTGCAATGCATTAATCCTCCTACTGATGGCAGTTGAGGCTACCTGAAAAGCTCTGGGCCATTGTGAGGAGGAGGGAAAAAAGAAAGAGGAAGAAAGAAGAAGAAGAAAGTGCGGAGGAAAGGAAGAAGAGCAAGGAAGGAGAAGAGATCACCTGCAGCTGGGGAGATGAGGCTCAAGACCGGTGTCGGCTAGGATAGAAGGTCAGCAGGAGGCGAGGAGAGGGGGTCTCGGCTTTCTCTGTGATGGAAGGAGGCACGTTAAAATGAGGAAGAAAAAACGGGTCGGGAAAAATAGGGATAATATAGACGGCATTTCCAACGGCATTTTCGGCGGCCATCGCCACTGGAAACAATTTACTTGAAACCAATGGTCATTCTGCCGATAAAGGTGTCCAACTTACGTAGAACTGGCAGATTTTCAGGCGGCTATAGGGCTGATGGTATAACCGCTGGTTAACACTAGCGATCAATCCACATGCTTAACCGCCAGAATTTTTGATGGTCCCATAGCTATTGGAAAATTTGCCGGTATTTGATGATTTTCCTCTAGTGTTAGATTACTTTAAAAATTCGCAGTATGAGATGAATGGTGATCCATCATCCTTATCACAAAGAAATCCCTATCATACAGTCTTCCATGGAGTGGAGGGAGGAAGGGGAGAACCGGAGAAGCAAACAAAAGAGAGCAAATTTTTTGCAATGCATCGCTAAATTGAAAATATAAAGAGCAATGGATAAACAATGAGAATCCCTCTTTTTTTTTTCCTTTCTCAATTGAAGGAAACAAATGCTTTCATTCCTGGTTAAGTAGTTGTTTGAGAAATATTTATTAAGACTGTAGAGTTTGAGCTCCACATAGAGGGAAGAGATGAGAATGGATGAATATGAAGTCTTTGTTTGACAGTGGATTAATAAGTGGTCTGATCAGAAATTCAACCATATGTTACTGATGATTAGCTTCATAGAAATTGATTTGCATACACTTTAGCCTGACTGTTAAAGGAAACTTCCAAAAATTACAATTACTGAAGCAAGGAGGCCAACAAAATCATTTCATAAAGTAATCAAGGTCATATAGAACTCAGTAAGATGGCCGTGGCACAGTTCTACTACGTGAAAAGCAATGTCAAAATGCTGAATTAATTTCATCCACTTACTTGTAAAAGGATAATCCAAAGGAAATAGCTGTTTAATCAACTAACTTATCGAAAAACTAACTACAAGGAAGCATTTTATTTTCTTAGTGACCAAGCCAAAGAAGTCTAGTACAGTTCAGCATCTAAGACGAATTCTAAAGAAGCTCCTCTTGAAGCATTCCGCAATCACTTAGCCAAGCCATTGTCGTGTCTCCTTCCCATATTTTTTTATTTTTTATCCCTCTCGTGTTTCTTTTATCATCTCATATCTCCCACCATCATTTTTTCCTATTCCTTTTATCTTTCTCGTCCCATGCGGCCACCTAATGCCACCATGACGAAGGAGCATTCTCATACTTAGTTGATTTGATTCAATGCGAGAGTATCTTCATGTTGCACGCTAGTTTTCTTTTATCATGCTTATTTCATATATTAGGATATTACAGTCAATATTTTATTTATTTATTGTTGGTCATTATTTCAAAAAAAGGGTGTCTAGAGGTTGCATTTCATTATTCTTTCGTTATTAAATAAATCACGATACTTTATTCAAACTCTAGCATTTCTCTGTCCAACCGGTCTGCTTTTTCTCTCCTCTCTCTTTTGGTCTCTCTATGTCCTATTCCTCAAGTTAGTGTGGATAACAAAGGAGATCAAAGCTCTAGTCACCTCGTTATCATTTTGATATTTGGCAGATATGTTGACCATAAAGGAAGCAGCCTGTATGTCTAAAATTAATTTATGTCCATTCTAGATCTCGCTACAAACTACCTTGTCCTTCAACTAACACAAAACTCTTGTTCAGAGTTTAAGCCAACTCCTTATGCTTGAATATTAAGCCAAATCCCTACACTTCCTGCCTCAAGATGTTTGTTTTTCCTAAATGACATTTAGTTTTAATAGGAATTAGCTTGCACAGCTGATTAATTCAATGACATGTGACTGCTTGTTTTAAAAGCTTGCTGATCTTTGCCATGTTGTAAATTTCCTTTCTTACTCAGCTTAAGTCTTAAATGTAATACCAAGCAGCCTTACTTCGTCACTCTTAATTTGGTAATGAAAGTGATATGCATTTGTGCCATTCTTGCTCCCATCTCGCTTCTATCCTCACTGGTCTTTATTGCAATTCTTGTCTTCAATCATGATGGCTTCAGTTAATATGATAAACAAAGTAAAAATTCAAGAAAACCTCACTGATATATACTATTAACAAGCAGCACAAATTATAAATTAGTAAGCTTTTTATAATCTTAATTAAATTTAAAAATGAAAAATATATATTCCTAAAATACTCTCCTTTCAATATGCTTGTTAATTATAACTACAATTTCTATTTTGACGGAGGGGCTATTTTAGCTCATATTTAAGGAGTTCAAGGACTAAATAAGATTTTTTATATAGTTTGTGACTATGGCCTCCTACAAATAATCTATCCCTTTTCTCTATTATAAAATATGTTGTATCTTAGTAAGCACATAGAAAAAAATCTTACTAAGTACAGTAATATCTACAATAATACTAATTAAAAAATCCTAAAACCCTAAAAATAAAATATGCCCATCCTAATAACCCCAAAATTAAAAACCTAAGGTACAGGTGCAACCGTGTGTAGGAAATCCATGGTGCAGATTTGAAGAAAGACTTTAAATCAAATCAAATCAAATGCTGAAAAAAATGTATTCATATAACAAGTTGGTCTTCAATTTGAAATAGTAAGAGGCACATCTAATTGCATGAGAATACCTGCTGTCCATGTGACTTGATCAATCCATGGATCAGAAGAAGAAGGCCTCCCTGACCTGCAACCAGTCCAGCTTTTAGTTGAAGAACCTATGGCAAAATGGAGGCATTCGAATGATGCTATGAAGGTCAAAGGACAACATGCATTATGTATTACAATGCGTCCGTAACAAAATTCACAAAGTACTTCGTCAATATCACATGATAGTACAATGAAAGACTACACAACTACCTGCTTACACTAACCACTTCAATGCCCTTGGATACTGCAGCCTTGCAAATTGCAGTACCAACAAATCCAGTGCCTCCAAGTACAACAATCTACTAAAAATGCATAATAGACTTAGTTTCTATAGAAGATAAATGAAGTATAATTTTAAATCACAGAACTAAAGATCAAACCCTCTCGGTTTTAACATCAGCTACAACATCGATAGGAGCCGAAGAGGAATCTTGGCTAATATTTGGCGCCGCATAGCGACCGGAGACTCTGATTCTGCATAAAAAATTATGTAAAAATTAAAACACTTTAAATGCCTTACTTGATGAAGACATCGATTCAAGGTTCAAACAGGAGTCGCCTTAGATGGTTTGTTCACATAAAACGGCGGCCTTGCGATGACCCGGTTAGGAGAGTAGAGGTATTAGATTTGACTTATGTTAAGAAAGGTAGGGGTAGACCTAAAAAGACTTGGTTAGAAAATATTAGGAATGACCTTTCTTTATTAGATTTAAACGAGAATTTGACTTTTAATAGGACACAATGGAGAAAAAGGATTCATGTAGCCGACCCCATGTAGTGGGATAAAGGCTTGATGTAGTTGTTGTTGGTTTCTACTTCTTCTTGCATGAAGGCTTGAGAAGGGAGAGCTCCAGGGGAGCGAATCGCAAGGCCCACCAGTCGTTGGAAGAGTCCGCGACTTGTGGTTAATTTAGTTATCTTCTCGTTCTTATCTCCCACCATCATTTTCTCCACCACCACCACCATAAAATCCCATCCCAAGTCCCATTGCCGCCGGCCTTGGAGGCTTGCCGTCGGCCCTCACCCCGGTCCTGGCCGGCCACCTCGCCGGTAATTCCCCGTCACCCGTCCGATTCTTCCCCAATCAATTTTAAATTTGAAATTTGAAAATTCAAATTTTCAAATTCTTTCCTAATTTGGAATTCCAATTTAGGAAAGTTTTGATGATGAATTTCAATTTAATCTAATTTAGAATCATGAGATATAATTCCACATCATCATCCCAAATTAGAAACCTCTCCCACTAATCCCCTTTTCCTCCTCTAAGCATGCCGCCCCCCCCCCTTCGCCCCCCCACATGGAAATTTCTATAATAATGCTTAGTTTAATGCCTTGACCAGTTTTGAAAATCATAATTTGATTTCAAGATTTTCCCTCCCGAATTACTTAAAACTGAAATTAAATTTCAGTTTTAAGTTTTCAAACCCCTCCTTCCCTCTAAGCATGCCGCCGACCACCTCTTGATGAGCCCCTTTAATTGCTCATTAAATCCCCCCTTAATTACATTTGAAATTTGAATTTCCTCTCAAATTATTCCCTCCAAACACAATTAAATCTGAAACTTATTTCAGATTTATTGAGGAATTGAATCGGATTGAATTTCCTAAACCCTAACCCTCTCCTCTTGGAACCCGCCGCCCCTTCCCCTTGGAAATCCCGCCGACTCCCTCACCCCTCTCCTCCCTCCTCCTCCCAAAGCAAGGATTCCCCACTACCTTCCCTTAGTTCTCCTCTCCTTGAAGAATTCTCTACGCCAAGCATGTATGGCGGATCCGGAGCTTGAGTGGGGTCTCATGTTCAACGCCGACGGAAGCTTGAATATCCTACGATCACCATTCTTCGACGTAGGATTTGAAGATGACGCCACCGTGGGAGATTACTTGGAACGAGTGGTTCCTACCCCTGCAAGCGTCATCGACCGCCAACATCCAAACTACAATTGGATAATCGACCGTCGATCATTTCCATCGTCCTCACCACCGATAACCTTCCCGTTGATCAAGGCCGTTGTGGTTGCTACCGTTCTCTTGGCTTCGTCGGGTTTGCTAAAACCTTTCTTCCGCTAAGCCTAGTGTAGTCGAGTGATACATCCCCAAGGTGAAAACTCTCATTATTAAGTTGTAGATTATTGATTAATAGCTTTTGGTATTACTACTATCTTTGGTTATCTTTGAGTTTAGCTAATCTACATGTACTTCCTCGCCTAAGCTAGTTGAAAACTGAAATTCTTTAAAGAAATTTACTTGTCATTTCAATAAGTTATTACGTGAAATTTCTTTACCAATTCTTCTTTAAATTTCTTAACAAGCTCCTTTGCATAATGTTTCACATCATTACTTCTCCAATAAAGTATGAAAAATGATTCAGATGTGTATCAAAAGAACGCCTAAACAAGATGTGGTACAGATGCTCAAAGAATGCATAAGCATCTTCATCCCATCAAGGTCAAGAATCAATCAAAGAAAAAACAAACTACCAATTCCTTTTGCTATTGATTGAGCATGAAAGCACCAAATACCTATTTTACAATATGTAAGAATAATCATTCCTATTTATCAATTCTCCACGAAAATAAATACGGAAACTTTATTTTAACAAAATTTTTAGAGTCTCCATTAGGCAAATGGCTATTCAATTCGTGCTAAGTTCTAGTTTACTTTACAAGCTAACAGGAAGGTTTCAAAACTGCCATTCAACGTAAAATCATAAAAACTTTTCTAATAAGTTACCCTACACTTAATAAAATCGGACATTCTAGCTGCCAAATGAAAATACAGAGCTCTTCATCATTCTAACAGGAACATTCCAAAATAAGGACCATATTGGTCAAGGTAATTTGAAAAATATTAGAAGGTTTTACTTATACTAGCATAAAAGGGCATGTCAGCAATAACTGTTATCATCGATTAAGCCAGTTAAGATAATTTTGCTCAGTATTTATTGAGTACTTGCAAATACGCACCAAATACTCAATAAATACGTAGCAAATCCGAATAGTCATCCCGTCCAGTTCAAGTTGCATAAACATTTTGAGACTTTCTAAGCCGATCTAAGCTTGTTGTGCCAATTCAGGCATATTCATACATCTGTCGGACCAAACAAAGCCAAATTAGCCCCAAGTGCTACAAATAGTATAGGCTTTAAGATTCCTAATCAACTTTAATAATTGAACTTGACTAGGTAGGACCTTATTAAAACCTAGCAAATAAATTATGTTCCGCTTAGAAATTCCATTAGCATAGTCTAAATCATCAACTAATTTACAAAACGCATCTTTTATCATTGAAATATTAATTTTTTTAATGACTGGTGTGAGTTTAAGTAAAAGATATCATATATTTAAAAAAAACACTCTAATTAAGACATAAATTAGAAATACAATCAATGAAACTTCCAAGAACAACCAAAATTGAAGAAATCAAAACTCCTTTGGTTATCCGAGAAAAAGAACCACGAACAAATATGTAAAACCTTACCAAATACCATTCTCACTGGTAAGGACACTCAATACTCTCGTACAAAAACAAAATTACTCCCACACAATTCTCAATCCCAAAAAGGATTTGTGAGGGCGTGTTATTAAACATGCATTACACAAAGCGAAATTCAGCAAGCAGACACAATTTATTTCCAAAAAAAACTAAAACAACTTCATTCTTTCTCCCTTGACACCACCGATGAAGCATAAAGCACATAACTGTTACAAACCTCAATAATCAAAAGAAGAAAACTTACTACCAATTATCCATAATCAAGTAATCAAAAACAAAGATGTCCATTACCGCGACTTTTTTTGCGTTTGGCTGGATTTACCCTAAATCCTACTAAAAACTTGAAATAAATCCGATACCAAACACCCCCTTAGGGCGCATAAAAATAGCTGGAAAGCATAAAAGTACAGGACCTTGATGGACAATTAGTTGAAGAACGCCACCAAGCCGACCCAATCGGTTTCCTGAACGCAGAAACAGGCATGGAGGGGCAAAGCGCCAACGAAGACATCAGTTCTCTCACCCTCTCGCTCGCGAAGGTAGAAAGTGTTCTCCTCCGCTTAGCTTCTCTCTCCGGTCTCTTCTGGCCTTCCTCTTCAGCCGCTCTTCGCCTTTGTGCACGCGTCCGACATGCGTCGGACGAATCGAATTGAAAATTATTATAAAAAAATATCCTCATTTCCAAATATTTCTTACCAAAAATATTGAGTGTCTTTATTACGTCATTCGCAACTCTTGTTTACATTTCCACACATTATATATTACTAACTTCATCATATATTCATTGAGATATCTTTATTCGATAGGATAAGAAGATCGTGACGATGAATTTAAATTGGACAAATTGTTGAGTCATTTTTATTGTTTGAATAATATTGTATCATATGATCTAAGCTATTGTGTATGATTCTTATGCTTTATGCTTAATTGAAATATTTTTTATTAAGACTTAGGCTTCATTTGGGACTGCTTTCTTGCTCCTTAAAGTAGCTTTTTAGTTCAATAATTAAAATTTTTGTGCTAGAAAGCTGCTTTAAAAAGCAACAAGAAAGCCGTCTCAAATGAAGCCTTTGACTTCGTTTGTGATTGCTTTTTACTGATAGCTTTCAAGTACAAAAATTTTAAAAAAATTTAATTTTTGTACTAACAACTTATTTTAAGAAGCAGGAAGAAAGCAATCCCAAACAAAACCTTAATGTTGAACAAGATAAATAATCTAAATTTGTTCAAACCTTTTTTGAAGCATGCTCAAGCCATAACCTAATGATTCAAACCTTATTCAAATAGTTTTTGAACGATGCCAAAAAAATAGTTCTTTTCTTATTTGGGTACAAATTGGACATGCTCAAACTATGTTAGTACCTAATTAAAATAAGATTTGAAGCTTATTTGAATATGCTCGAACAATGTTCAAAATTAATTTTCCCATTCCTCAAACCTTGCTTGGTTCTCTTACTTGCACTAACATTATCATCAATGTTCTTGCACTTTATGGATGAAAATGACAAAGAAAACATACAAATTAGTTGGAAATTTATTGAAAAATTGAGAAAAACATTGATTGTTCAAAGAAATATTTTCCTAGAAGATCTCATAGATTTTACATACAAAATTATAGAAATAGATGAGAATCAATTTAGTTTGAAGCTAAGTGAGATGTATTACTTTGGTGGTTTAAATCTAAATGTAAGGAAGAAAAATCTTCAATTCAAAGTGAAGAAATTTGGGAAATGCATTTGGTATTTATGTTGTCCTATTGAAAAATATTCATTCAAATTTTATAGTTTCATACAAAAATATCACTGAATTTTCAAAGCTTGTAGAAGAGTTTGGTTCCATTGGCACTTTGACAAATTATGGATAAAGTATCCAATCACACTTTCCTACCTATAGAATAAAATTGGATTTGAGGGGTTGGCTTATCAATAGTGCATGTTCATATATAATGATCGCTTTATTAAGAGTTCTTAAGACACAATGTAAAAATAGTTCTTTAATGGATGCATCATTATAGCGAATGTAAGAACTATTTTTGATAAGAAAATTGAAGAAGCTTTGAATAAGGCTCAAATATAATTGTCTATATGATTGGTCAATTTAAATTATATGTTCTTGATCATTGATTTACATGAGATGATATGTACATGTAGAAAATTTGATGTGATAGATTTATTATGTAAATATTATATGTATTCATGAAATTAAGTGGGTTGGAGAGAATGTTAAGAAGATTGATAGTATTCAGGTAGGAATCATACAAGAAATAGTGTAGTTGTGTTTATAAATTAGAGGTAGAATTATAGCTTTAAAGATTATTGTTGATGCAAATATTATGAATATTTTAAGTGCTTTAGATTATGTGTTCAAAATTAAAATTTTAGAAAAACTTAGAAAAATCAATACAAAAGATATATCTTGAAGAAAAAAGTTTTTATTGGAGAAGATTTAAATGGACAAGTTGGTAAAGATGTAGAAGATTTTAAAGTTGTTCATGAGGCTATGTGTTAGAGCTAGTAATCAAAGTGCTAGGATCATATTAGATTTTACTCAAGCTTATGATTTCATAATTACTAATATATTATTTAAGAAAAGAGAGAAGCATCTTATCATTCAAAAGAATGAAAATAATAAAACTCCTATTGATTCATATAAGAAAAAAAAAATCTTATTTAGATTGCAAAGATTGTAAAATTATTCAGAGTGAAAGTTCATGTACACATCATCACTTATTAATTTTAGACTTTAAAATGAAGGTGCGAAATAAAAAAAATAAAGTAAAATATTATCCGAGGATTGGATGAGGCATTTAAAGAATACTAACTAAAATATTTTTGAGATTAAGATTCTTAAGATTTTGATTGTGCATGAAGAAACTAATATTATGTGATAAAAAAATAGCTAGTTATATTAAGAATTTTACGAAGGATGTGCTTGAAGTATCTAAAGGAAAAATTTATAATAGTAAAAATAATTGGTGATGAAATCAAAAGTGCAATAAAAGATAAAAAATAAGAAGCTTTGTTAGAAAATTAGTTTAGTTGTAAAAGTTTAGAAAATTAGAAAAGGTATAAAGAGGCTCGTAAGAAGTCTATGAAAGAAATATGCGATGCAAAGAATTTATCTTTTAATAATTTATATGTTAGATTAGATACAAAAAATATATGTATAAGTTAGTCAAGAAAAGAGATATGATAAGTAAAAATTTAGTTCAAGTGAAATGCATTAAGGATGAAGATAAAAAAATACTTTTATCAGGAGATGATATTCAATAAAGGTGGATGATATGTTTTGATAAGTTTTTCAATAATGATTGTAAGAATACAATCGACTGTAGTGACTCTAGCATCCTAAATGAAAATAATTTTTTTATTTTTGTTGACGCATTAGTAAAATAGAAGTTAGAGAGGCTTTAAAGAAACTGAAGTGCGAAAAAAAACTTTTGAATATAATGATATTCCAATAGAGGCAAAAGTTTAGGAGATAGAAATTTATTAACTTATGAAGCTTTTCAATACCATTTTGGAGATTAAAAAGATATCAGATAAGTGGTGAAGGAGTGTGTTGATTTTTATTTTTAAGAAAAAAAGTGATGCACAAGAGTGTGTGAAATATAGAGGAATTAAGTTAGAGTGTAATACTTTAAAACTATAGAAGAAAGTTATTGAGCATATGTTATGACGTGATATTAACGTTTCTAAAAATCAATTTGGATTCATGCCGGGGTAGGTCTATGATGGAAGCTATATATTTATTGAGAAGTTTGGTGGAGAAGTATATAGAGAATAAGGAGGATCTACATATGACATTTATTAATTTAGAAAAAACATATGATAAAGTTCCAATAGAAGTGTTATGAAGAGTTATAGAAAAGAAAGGGGTTAATAATGCTTATATTCAAGTCATTAAGGATATATATGCATGAGCTAATATTTGCATTCGAACACAAGGTGCTTTGACCAAGTATTTTCCTATTTTAATTGGATTACACCAAGGATCAGCTTTAAGCTCATATCTTTTTGCTTTAATCATGGATGTTCTTACTAGACATTTACAATATAATATACCTTGGTGTTTGTTTTTTTGCTGATGATATTCTTCTTATTGATAATGTTAGAAAGAGAGTTGAAGATAAATTCGAATTATGGAGGTCAACCTTAGAGTATAAATGTTTTCATTTGAGCTGATCTAAAATTGAATACATGAAATGTAACTTTAATAGTGATAGATCTAGTGAAGTGATTATGACTTTGGGCAATCAATTCATTAATAAGAGTGCACATTTTATATATCTCGTGTCAATTATTCAAAATGATGGTGAAATAAATGGATATATTGTTAGTAGAATTCAAGTTAGATGGTCGAAGTGTAGAAATACAGCAGGCTTGTTGTATGATAGAAAAGTACCCCTCAAACTTCAAAGAAAATCATATAAGATGGTGGTGAAACCTGCAATGATTTATGACGTAAAATCTTGGCCATTAAAAGAGAATCATAAAATTAAGATAACTGTTTAAAAGAAGAGAATGCTCAGGTGGATGAGTGGTTTCACTCCTTTAGACAGAATGTGAAACAAGTATATGCGTGAAAAGGTTGGAGTAGATCTAGTGGCAAATAAGATTAGAGGAAATCGCCTTAGATGATTTAGTCACATAAAAGGTTCGTCTCCTAATGACCCGATTATGAGAGTAAATATATTAGAATTAGCCTATGTTAAGAAAAAAAATGAGGTAAAACTAAAACTATTTGGTTACAAAAATATAAAAAATGACATTTATTTAGTGGATTTAAAATATATAATTTTTATTCTTAAATTTTTGAGTTGGTTAAACTTCACTTTTAAAAACTTGAAAAGTGAACTATTCCTCCCCACAATGGCTACTACTCTCCCCTCTCTTCTCCCCTTCTCTCCTCCCTCATACCAAAGGCTTCCACAGCGGTCTTCTCCTTCACATCCATCCTACTTATCGCACCCTTCCTTTCTCCTCCTCCACGACTGCTCTCATCCCAATGAAATCTTCCAAGCTCTCACCCCTATCATCAAGAACTGCTTGATTTCCGAACCCTTCGTCCAAAATAAGCTCGTCGCACTCTTCTCCCGTTGTGGATGCATCAATGAGGCTTCCAAGCTCTTCTCCTGCATCCTCTACAAGCCCGATGAGCTCTACCACTGTCTTCTTCGCGGTCATGCTCACCATTCACCTTTAGAAGAATCCCTCTCTTTCTACTCTCAGATGCGGCTTGCTGGTGTTGGCCCACTGGTTTACAGCTTAACCTATCTCCTCAAGAGCTGTGGTGACCGCTCCGATCTCAAGAGAGGTAAAGAAGTTCACTCTCAGCTGATTTCGAATGGGTTTGGCTCCAATATCCAGGCCATGACTTCTGTAGTCAACATGTATTGTAAGTGCCGTCTTGTTGAAGACGCACGCAAGATGTTCGATCGAATGCCTGAAAAGGATTTGGTGAGTTGGAATGCTTTGGTAGCTGGTTACGCTCAAAATAGTCTAGCGAAAGAAGCACTGGAGTTGGTTGTGACGATGCAGGAGTGTGGTCAAAGACCAGATTCGATCACAATCGTCTCAGCTCTTCCAGCTTGTGCTGATATAGTCTCTTTGAGGATTGGGAAGTCAGTTCACGGTTTCGCAATTAGAGCTGGGTTTGACACACTGGTAAACATCTCGACCACAGTCGTCGACATGTATTCGAAATGTGGTTCGTTAAGTTCAGCTAGGTTGGTGTTCGACAGAATGCCGGTTAAGAATGTTGTCTCATGGAACTCCATGATTGTTGGATATGTAAGCGGCAATGAAGCTGGAGAAGCTTTGAAACTATACAAGATGTTTTTGGAAGAAGGAATCAATCCAACAGATGTTACCATGATGGGAGTGTTACAGGCTTGTTCCGAGCTTAGCGAGTTAGAAGAAGGAAGGGAAGCTCATAAGCTTCTGGTTAGAAATGGATTAGGATCTGATACCTCAGTCATGAATGCTCTGATAACAATGTATTCAAAGTGCAAGAGAACTGATCTTGCAGCTGAAGTCTTTCAAAGCTTACAGTCTAAGAGTCTTGTGTCTTGGAATGCTATGATATTAAGTTATTCACAGAATGACAGACCAACTGATGCAGTGAACCTTTTCTTCAAGATGTTGAAGAAGAACATAAGACCGGATTCATTCACACTGGTCAGTGTGATTCCAGCACTTGCAGACATATCGCTCCCTCGTCAAGCGAAATGGATACATGGCTATGCTATCAGATTGCTTCTAGATTCCAACATCTTTGTCAGAACTGCTCTCATTGATTTGTACGGGAAATGCGGGGCATTGAGCTCAGCGAGATTGCTCTTCGATCTTATGACAGAGCGGCATGTGACGACATGGAATGCGATGATAGACGGCTATGGAAGTCATGGTTTGGGAAAGATGTCACTCTGGTTATTTGAGGAGATGAAGAGGAGTCCAGTTAAGCCTAGTGATGTAACATTCCTTAACATTCTCTCAGCCTGCAGCCATGCTGGGTTAGTAGATGAAGGGAAGAAGTACTTCAGGTCTATGAGTGAAGACTATGGCTTTGAGCTTGGAATCGATCATTATGGAGCCATGGTCGACCTCTTGGGTCGCTCCGGGAGACTAGAAGAAGCATGGAGCTTCATAGAGCAGATGCCACTTAAACCAAGCATCAGCATATACGGCGCAATGCTCGGAGCCTGTAAAATCCACAAGAATGTGCAGATTGGCGAGGCAGCGGCAAAGAGGCTCTTCGAGCTTGAACCCGAAGAAGGTGGCTACCATGTCTTACTAGCTAACATATATGCATCAGTCTCATTGTGGGAGGATGTGGCTAGAGTGAGGAAGATGATGGAGAAACAAGGAATTCAGAAGACACCAGGTTATAGTTTTATTGAATTCAAGAATCAAGTGCACACATTTTACAGTGGAATGACAAATCATCCACAAGCAAAGCAGATATATGCCAAGCTTGATGAATTGATTGAGGAGATCAGATTAATTGGATACATTCCAGATAAGAATTTGGTGCGTGATATTGAAGATGATGTAAAGGAGACATGGCTTAACAGTCACAGTGAGAAACTGGCCATTGCATTTGGGCTTATAAACACAAAACCTGGTACTACCATACAGATAAGAAAGAATTTGAGAGTATGTAGTGATTGTCATAATATGACAAAGTTGATTAGCAGAAGCACCGGCAGGGAGATTATTGTTAGGGATATGAATCGATTTCATCATTTCAAGGATGGGGAATGTTCATGTGGGGATTACTGGTAATTATTGTTTAGGGTTTAAGATTTGTGATTATCTCACTTATATGAATAAATTTAATTTTTTATACTCTCAGAGTCGAGACTGTCCTATAGATTAAAAGTTAGTCTATAGACATGTTTGTTCTTGAAATTGTATAAATTTTTATAGGAATGAATTCTCAGTGTTATTTAAAATTTATATTGAAAATAAAATGCTAACCATTGTTATGTTCCCTACTCTCTCTCTCTCTCTCTCTCTCTTATATATATATATATATATGAAATGTGAAATAATATTATTGAGCTCGCGCGTGCAGCCCAGTTGGTTGACGCGAAGGAATTCCTCCCGCGAGACTCACGTTCGAAGCCCCTAAATTTCCAAAAATTCTTTATAATGCAAATAATATTATTTTTAGTTAATGATAAAATATTTTTTTATTTATACACTATAAAAATAATTTTTATCTATTTATTAATGATAAATTATTTAACATAAATAATTTATAAATATAACATTGATATATAACATACATATATAAATATATCTAAGCATATAACATAAATTATAATTTATATTAAATATGAATCAAATTTAAAAATTCAATGTATTTAAATTTAAAATTATAAAAACTATTGTAATGCATGATTTCTTTTAATCACAAATTTATATTATTGCATAATTATTATACCATTATTATTTCATTTAGATAATATTAAAATAATTTTAATATTTATTATGTCATTTGGCTCCACCAAGATCAAGCCATTAAATCTTAAACTTCTCCTTCTTCCTGTTCAAATGGGCCCTAATGAAAGTTTGCTTGCAGACTTATTTAAGAAAATGCATGTGTTAACATTATTATTTTTTTCTTTATTTTCTCACTAAATTCACTTAAAAATTGAGCTAGCCTCATTGTCTGCAAGGTGTTTGTTGAATTGTCTCACCGCCTTCAATCGCATAGGCTAGTGCCCAACTTACCCTTAACAATAGTAGCGACAATAACAGGTCTCAATGATTGTATCTAATTAGTTGGGGACGAAGAACTCCTGATTAACAAATATTGTAAGTAATCAATCCTTAAATGCTTGTAGCCTTCTTATAACCTCTTATGCTGACTTCAATGGAACTTCATTATGAAATTTTTATGTAGCTCCATCTAGGTTCTGGAACAAAAGGTAACTTCACCGACTGATACAGATTAGATTAGCCTAGCAGCAGAATTGCTTGGAGAGCGTCCTGCTTAGGGCATCTCCAATGGAACAGTTCCATCACTCCAACCGAGCGGCAATTTTGCATTTATTTCATCGCGGTGAACAGTGCGACGCCGACCTCTAAATTTTTATGTGTCAACAGGATTTGCCCGCGAAATGGAGTTGGATTGGAGCAGAATTATCGCATTCTGAAGTTTTGCTGTATTTTGCAGTGGAAAGTGTGGTTTTCGGTTGGAGATGCCCTTAGCTCTGCTATGTTAGATCTACACCAAGAAATCTAAAAAAAAAACTTTTCCCAACATATCAGTACTTCTATTTACAAGAATTGATAGTCTGGTTCTAGGACTACAAATTCAATCTTATAACACTGGCAAGTTCATAATTGCTAATAACATAACATTAATGATATTTTAAAATACTAATGGTTGTGTATCAGGTTGGTCAAGTCATGCCTGATGAATATTTCGAATTGCGGCATTGATGCTTTTACAATCCAAATCCATGGTCTTCATCCAGTTCTCGAAGTCTCCAATCTCCTGTAGATTATGAGGCTAGGTGAGAGTTACAATGGTGCCCATTTTAGTGGTTCAGGATAACTTATCTTCATCGGATTCTCCTATTTGACTAATAAACATGATGGTGTCATTGTTTTTTTTATATAACATAGCACCTTGAACCTTAATGTTGAAGCCAGGTAAGTTTAACAAAGCATTATTGAAAATTAATAGCTAACCTTTACTAGGGAGTAGGCAATTAGAGGATTAATTATTCTGCGCGGACGTCGAAGGTCGTATGGAGACCAACCAGAATGTGTCACGTCACCCCTTCGCTCGGTGCCGCGGTTTGGTACCGCTGACGTGGTTGCATCTGATTCGCCTTCAGACGTAGAGTTGCGTCCGGCCATCGCATAGAATAATTTCTCCAATTAGGAGGCAATTAATTTTAACAAAACATTATTGGAAATGTCGCTGAACATTAAATAGCATGGTGATGTGGAAATGGTTTGGAGATTTTGGTGCACAACAAAAGAACATTAAAACATGAGTGTTTAATATCTAATAATAAATTTTTTTGTGTGGAATGTATGCACAAAACAGGAGAAAAAAAAGTAACTTAAGGAACTTAAAATAGACAAAATTTTGGAGTTAATTATGAGTTTCCCTATAACATCTGGTTTTCTGCTACGCTTCGTCAATCATGAGTAGGAAATATTGGCAGTAAACAACAGATGGCAACCAAGTTGTAAATATGAATGGAAATTCAGAGGAAATACATGTATAAACAATAGAAATACTTCATGAAGGAGCATATGCAAAACTCAAAGTCGTAAAATATACCTTTAAAACAGAATTCAGTGCATGAGATGCAGCAAGCCATTGATTTGTCTGTTTTTTATATCGAATGATGGTACTGATCAATGCACGGATTTCAACTTCAATATGTTTCTCAGTAGTGAAGGCTTCCTGCACTCCTCCATTAACAGTGTCAACCAGAAGCTCTGAAACCTGAACTGCAGTTTTTAAAGCATCTTTCTTCGCCTTATCTGGAAGTTAAAAAAAAAAAAACAAAAAGGTGTTGTGTATAAGATACTTAACCATTATTATTTCCAGTCATGTTATATAAGACGGATTTAAGCTCTTTTTGGATTACAAAAACAAGAACATTAGTAATTAGCTGAAACCATACATTTATGAGCCCATCAAACTAATTGCAACACCAACAAAGTAGAAAGCTATGGTAGAGCTTAACCTCACAGCGACTATATAAATTTATCATTACGATCATCATACAACACTTATTATGCTAACAAGTGCAGAGAAATGGAAAAGAAAACCGTAGGAATACAAATAAATTATTTAAATTCTATAAGATATCATCAATTATCAACGGGATAATCATCACAATTAAGCACCGCACAAGTTCTCGTATTCCTAGTCCAAACTCTAAGGATTATAAGTACGACATTTCCCACCAATCAATTAGCTTTTCTAGGAACTAAAAAACACAATAACAGTGAGAAGAATAGAAGAGTCTAGGAAACGATTTCATCTTAGATTAATTAGTTAGAAAGGGTGATGAAGATAAACCTAATGGATGAATTGGAAATTTAATAAATTTCAATTTTCATCATCATCATTAAGTGTGCGGTGTTAAATTTCAATTTTCAATATCTAAAATTGTTGCTACTATATGCCAGGTACTAAGTGGCTGCTCTAACGAATAGCCTTAATCGAAAGTTCTCTCTCATTATCGGGAGGGGTAATTAACTATAGGGGCTTGCATCTATAGGAAACCTGAACTCGGAACATAAAGTCTTCGCAAAATGAGAGCGCTAAAACTCTCCTCGCCGAATAAAAAAGGTTGCAAAGAGGCCGAGGTGCGAATTTTCGGAGCCCACAATACTTAGCAGTTAGCATCGAAGATATCACATCATATCAATACACTTTTGAGCAGCTTATTGTAACTAGACGTTGTTTATGTAGGCACATCTTCTATTTTTCAGCATCCATTATTTTTCTTGTGCCACTGCCTACCCTCTCTAACACTTCAAAGAAGGTTCATCATCATTTAGGCTAGCAAGCATACTGGAAATATTGGAAAGATAAGTTGTGTAACAATGATTCTTCAATTGACCATGTAACACCAAAGGAAATGACATGGGATTTAGATGTTAGTTAGATGCTTATGTAAATTCCATATTTTATTTTAACTTATTTGTAATAATCATGACTCATTATTTTATATTATCTTTCAAAAGGATGACATGGGATTTGGATGAATAGGATTTGAATGAACGACCTTGTGAATTGATTCCTACCCCTTATTCTATCCGTCCTCTCTTCTATTTGATAACACTCTTTCTTTCTCCCTGTATTCTCAATTTCATTCCAAAATTTGATAACTTGATCTCAAAACCCTTTTTCATGGTACTTTCAGCTTATCTCTTTCATTCATCATCCAAAAATTTCATGATTTGGTTGTGTTTTGGCCTTTTGATCCTCTATAGAAGCGCTTTGACCGATTCTAATGTCACACACTCCATATTTCTGCACAAGTCAGTGGTCATTATTTTGACTGCTATCAAGCAACCTGCACTTTATCAGAGATCCATCTTCTAATTAGGATTTCTAAAAATAAAGCCCCACCAACACCAACCTAAATATTGATAAACTCATTACTCTCATTCATTATTTTGGTAAAGTAATAAAACATAATTGGTGCTTGACCAGACGTAGACTAATTACAACATGAAAACTAAAACTTCTCTTGACAAAAGCAATAACATGAAACAATATTGTTACAAATCAAGTTGCATTTCCTTGATTGTTGGTCCATATGAAGCCTAACCTATCTCAGTGTCGCTCTTATCATTCTTATTAATTCTATCCCTCAATTCACTGCATGTTTTTGTCATAAGTTTCAAGATTCCATCAAATAGCATCCATAAAATGCATAAATGCCATCAACATTTCAGCATCGGGTGTTCTTATATTAGGTCTATAAATAATGCTACATTTAATAAATAAAAATAGATTAAGCTTTCTGAGAATCTGTCTAAATAACTGACCAGATTGATCTTGGATATAGACAGCTCTTTGTTGGTGCTCCTGAATGATTTGGATAAGTGATGACTCAAGGCCACCCATCTCCACCTTCGCTCCTTCCATCTCTATACTCAATAAACAAGCCATGTCACTATAAAGGGACGAGAAAAGAAAAACGGTCTGAAAAATAGAAACATTCTCAGAATGATTAACCAAAGCGAGCCAAGTAGCATTGAAGAAATTTTTTGTTATAAGATGTTGCAATTCTGTATAAGCTGGATTTGAAGATTTCCAATTCATAGAATAGACTAGAGAAGAGCAGGTAAAATTCAAAACACAACCTTCTCCAGCATAGAAGTAGCATTATAAGTAGTTCATGCTAAATTTCATTGTAATTATTGTTTTAGACATTTATTATTGAGCATGCTAGTTTGTTTATGTGAACTCTACTGTCTTAGGTTCGGAAGAAGAAGATAGAAAATTGATGATGAAATGAAAATTCCTTTGCCATGGGTGTGAATTGTACTCAAGTGCGTCCCTTAAATGAGATAAAGTGGAATCATGCTTTATGAATTCAATTTTTACATGTTTTTCATAAGTTTCTTATTCGCCAAAGTAGATGGAAACTCTACATGAAGATGAGAGAGGTGAAACATAAAACTCTGGAAATTTACATTTTCTTCAACCTCCTGAATTGTGAGCGTTTGTCAAGATGTTTTCTGCCACAAGGCTTTCAAAAAATTCTCAATGAGGCATGTGACTTCAAGATTCAATTCCATAAAGACAATGACACTGTAAAGCGTTTGCTCACCAATGCCTTTATTCATGTCATTTGGAGGGACGATAGCGATAAGAATAATGACCACCGAAATTATGTGAAGGAGGTTGTGAAATGGAGGTCCATTAGTTTGTCTTTAGAACATTAGGTGTCATTAACTCCATACAAGCAAGGAAGAAAAGCACAAATGAATTGGTTGCTCTGAAGATATCACCTTGATCCTAACAAGGCACTAAACTTACGGTTCCCCAAGATAAGAGCTAGAAACTAATCTCCTCTTCATGATTTGCAATTCCTCAACTCCTTAGAGGATATTTTTTCAAATATCCATTTGTGAAAAAGGAGTTGAGCATGCTTAGATCTCTCAAAGACAGTTTCTTTCTTGAGATTCTCTTTAAGAGCCTCGAAAAAACAATCTACCTTCCTCTTAGCATGTTGAATCTCCACATCATGGATGCCCATCGAGCCCTTAAAAGCATGGATGACCATATTGATAAAGTAAATTCTACCCCAAATATTCATTTTTCTACCTCTTATTCTATTGTTGACAACATAGAGTTCACATGCAACCACCCTTGTTAGTTAAACTATATGATAAAATTCTAAAAAGAACCATTTTTGCAAGCTCAGTTACATAAAACCATGTTATGATTCAAAACCTTTTTAATGCATCTGCTTCTAACCTCATGGATGCTTATCAAATTAAACCTTTGTAATGTCGGGCCACCCTTATGTTCATTCATTCTTGAAACTTTATTTAGTGGAATCGCATAGGGAATATTGTAAATCTTGGATCGTTGCTTCTCATTCCTATCAAAAACTAACTTGGTGAGCAAGGACCACCAAGAGCAATCATTTGACTCTTGGGGATAAGGAGGTTCACTATGATAGAGAAATTGGACCAGGAGAGTCGAGAGAAAAAAGGGAATGGGGATCCTAAACTTGAGATCGATTGGGATATTTTCTAAGTTAAATTATTTGCTCCCTAAATAGCACTCAATCCTTTGTTATTCAAAAACGAAAGGACCATCCCTAAACTAAAGGCAAATGGAAAATCAAACATTGAGTTAGGGATTTTTTTAACGAAAAGTTGGCCAAACAATTCTCATTGATTTAAAAACAAAATTTACATAATAATTAAAAATAAGCTGGAATAACTCAAAATGAAACCAAAAGAATAAAATATTTAAGAAGGAAAGATCAGCTCCTGAGGGCTGGAAACAAAATGATTATCTTACATATACTTGTTGAATTAGATCAACTTATTGCCTATGTTGCACCGATACGAATATGGCGACACGGATACGACATGATACGGATACGGGACACGTCAATTCTTAGAAGTATAGGATATGGGTACGGCGCTGACACGACATTATAATTTATAAATCATACATAAAAATTAAGAAAGCATTCAAAGCAGAATATTTGAAATTACAAAAAAAAAAAAATGAAAGCAACATTATTTGTAGCCTTGTAGCTTATAATATCAAAATAAAAGTAAGCATTAAATGTCTAGTACAACAACAAAAGCATAAACATAAATTGTCTAGCACATGAAGTTCCAACTATTCGATAGAAGGAATGATACGATTGACTTCTTCAGTGGTTTGTTTTTGAACTTCTATATCATCTTCAATAAATATCATAACTTCTAATTCACGCTCATCAAGTGAAAGATTAGCAATTTCTAATATTCTCATATCATCAAGATACTCAAATCCATCTTGGAAATGAGAGAACCTCGCTCGCAGCCGTGGAAATAAATACGAAGTGTCTTTTTTTTTTTTCAACGGACACACGTATCGGATACGTGTGTCCTTTTGAAATTAAATAATATTTTAATTGGATACGGCTTTGGCGTATCCGACACGTACCGGTGCCGTATCGGAGGCGTATCCGTGTATCGGTGTATCGGATACGAAACGCCTTCATAAATAGAAGTATCGGTGCAACATAGCTTATTGCTAATAGTGTTATTAATCCAAAAAGTAAACAATGTTGGTTATGATAATTAGAAGAGCTTCTCACCTTTCTTCTTATTTTTAAAGCATTTAGCATTCATTATATTTCATATGTCACACAAAAGGAAAAGCAAAAAACAAAAAAAAGTCTCAAAGATCTCTAGTTTTTTTTGAGAGAAGTAAAAGCTAGATCCAAGTTAACAATAGACGAGGCCTTGCCAAAGAGATCATAAAGAGTCTACCAAATATTTGAAATAGAAGAACAATCAGAAAAAATATGAAATTCGTCTTCTAGTTTGTCAGTGCATTTATCACAAAAAGCCAAAGTGACAATCCATTTGGATAGAAGAGAGACCTTATTAGGGATTTTCCTAAGTAAAGCAATCACATATGAACTTTTAATTTTGAGAGGAGCAATAGATTTTCAAAACTAAGAGAAAAATAGTTAAGGCTTAAGCTAGGCAAGTTAAAATATTCCCCGGGTCAGATCTATTGTCCCCTAAATTAGCATTCAAATTAGTGCCTTCCTTGACATATAAAGCCACACCAAAATTGAGATTATATTATAACACCACTTCTATAAGCATTTTACCAGATTCTCCAAACTTACCTTTGTTCTTTCCCTATAATATCAAAACCAATACGTCCCTGAGTTGAGCCGAGCAATTTCACATTGTTACAACTATACAAACCCTAGAAAAACCTATTTGACCATATTACGATCTAACCCATTGTCCAACGAAAGTGACTAGGCAAACCTTCGTCGGACATTCCACTACCACACACAGAAAAATTCGAAGAAAAACAAAATCTCATAATGCAATCAAGGTAACAAAAAAAAAAAAAAAAACTAAATCGGAATGCCCGCGAATTTCTAATTCAATTTACCGGATCAATTGCTCTGAGATACTTCCACGAATGCTCAAATCATTCTCGTTCTCCATCACCGCCCCATCCCCACAGAAACATATAATTTCCGTACAACCCTTTAGCCTGAATTGAAGGCCGCTTAGTCGGTCAGTCGGCGAGGCTGCAGAGGCCAGCAGCGATGGGCCAAGTTTAACGGCGCGACTTCGGATTCACGATTTATTAAATTTAATTTTGTAAATTCTATGGATCCAAATTTAATAAAGGGTTATTTACACGGAGAATTCATTTTTATGCACATAAAGTTCTAATATTTAAATTAAAAATGGCAATTTTACATAAATATTAAATAATTCATTTTTATGTATAAAAATCACATATTTAAAATTTTATATTTATTTATATAACTCCCTATATCTAAATCACCTATTTTTGATAAAAAAGAATTTTGATTTATGTCTCACAATAATACTAATTGATCAAATATTCAGGATATTTCCTTATTTTAAGAAATATGTTTTAATGTTCATTTAAAACAAAAGTATTTCATTATATTAAAATATGAATTATAACTCTAAATTAATGTATTAATTATTCTGTGCATACTGTTCAGTATCGCAGCTCGGTATCGTTGTGTGACACATTCTGGTTGATCTCTGGACGACATTCCGCGTCCTAGGAGTTCAGAATAATTTCTCCAACTAATGACTAGCGTGATCTTTAGAGCATTATCTTCGTCAATAATGATCGCAAAACTCATGTCATCAGTTAGAGATACAACGTTGCAGATAGTCTCAACTTCGCAACCATTATTAATTCAAAGTTAATCATGTTATACTTATGATTATTCAGGTTTTAATACATTAATTGATCTCTTATATGATGGAAAGAGAAGTAGAGATAAGCCTTATGGCTTATGTTCAAAAACAAATAAAAATTTGAACTTATAATAGAAATTTTAAATCTTCTTCGGTTTGAAACATGTTTGAAACTTGTTTAGATTTAAGCTTCATTTGGGACGACTTTCTTATAGTTTTATAAAGCAATTTTTTAGTATAAAATTCTTTTGAATATGATATTTTTATACAAGAAAATTATTTTAGGAACCAGTAAGGAAGCCATTCCAAACGAAGCCTACTCCAGCACAAAAATTCTATTTTGAGATTACATTTAAAATTAATAGCATTTAAAAACAATTTTAATATAAAAAAATTAATCTAATTATTAATTTTAATTAATTATCAATATAAAAAATAATATAATATTATTAAAATTGTATTTATGTTAATAGGCGTCTATTTTAAATTAATCTTGAATGGATGTCTTTATATTATTATATATGTTAAATACAAATTCATCTTATTTCAATCTCATTTCGTAATTATACTTTTTAATTTCTTTTTTTTTTGTTTTTTTTTTATAATGGCAACTTGTTTTTGTTTTAACAACAATATGTTTATGAATATTTTTTAATAATTTTATTTATAAAAATATTTATTCAATTATACTTATTACAAAGTAAATAATTATTATAAAACCAACCTCTTGTACTCACCTTGTATTGATAGCATTAATTTCTCATTCTACTTGGCCCCATGATTTTTTGTTTTAAGTGTGTGTCACATTAAAAAAAAATAAAAATAAAAACAAATAAAATAAAATATCCTGAAAATGCATTAATCAAGAACAAGCATGAATATCTTCTATTCGCTTGAAATCAAAAGATTTTTCTAGCACATAATAATAACTCTAATGAAATTGTATTCTTTTTCTCTAACTTACAAAATTTATATACAGTGGAGAAGTTGCTTTGATTAATCTACGACTTCGTTTGGCAAGGCTTTCTTACTATAGCAACAACAACAAGCCTTTATCCTACTGTGGGATTGATGGGATCAACTACATGAATCCTTTTCTCCATTGTGTCTTATTAAGAGACAAATTCTTATCTAAATCTAATAAAGAAAGGTCATTTCTAATATTTTCTAACCAAATCTTTTTAGCTCTACCTCTACGTTTCTTAACATAAGTCAAATCTAATGCATCTACTTTCCTAATCAGGTCATCGGAAAGCAGCCGTTTTATATGACCAAACCATCTAAGGCGACTCTCTCTAATCTTACCTTCCAGTGAAGGCTTTCTTACCATTTTGTAAAATAACTTTTTAGTTCAAAAAATTATTAAACAATAATTTTTTGTACTGAAAAGTTGTTTTAAAAAGTAGTAAAAAAGTTGTCCCACACGAAGCTTGTATCTGAAATCTGCAGCAAATTTTGGATAAGCAACCTCAGTTTATCAATGTGAAGCAACATAATTCAAGCTCTGAATTTTGCGCTCAAACTGGATATCATTACACTACAAATTTTCAGTAGTTTAATTACAGATTACAGAAAAAGAAAAGGAAATACAGTTTCACAGAGAACAATTGGGGAACTTCAAAATGAGGAAAGAAATGATGAATTGAAACAAGGTTTAGATGATTTCATATTGCAAAAATTCTGGAATGTAAGAAAGCAAAAAACACTAAAGAATTTGCAGTTTTATCTTGGAAAAACCAGTATGTAGTTGCTGACAACACCATTTTCTCAGGCCAGAGAGGTGATGATTGCAGTTACCTCTATTGGCGCTGTTGTTGCTGGAGCTTTATTGAAGCCTGTTCAGTGTTAGGGGTCAGTTTCTTTCAAAACTGAAGCCTGTTCGGGTAATCGGTGTCATCACCTTCGTTGCTGAAGCTGTATGTTGTAAGACGAGTCTCTTTACATTCCTCCTGATGCAGTGTTTGAAATCAGAAGAATCATATCTTATGATTTTGCTTGGGGCTATTTATATATATATTCTATTTTTAGTCTCCTAAGTTTTCTAAAATGTTAATTTTCAATTACATATTTTATTTTTCTTTATCAAAAGAAGCTTTTTTTAAAACAAAATTTGAAAAGTTTTCATCCACAGACAAAAAACAATAAAAACTTTGCTTTTCCTACTTAAAAACAATAAAAAAAGCTGTCTCTGACAATTTTTTTTTATTGGAAATATCATTAGAAGGAGAAATTATTCTGTGCGGACACCGGAACGTCCGGAGGCGAATCAGAGTGTGCCACGTTACCTGGTACACAGTGGGTACACAGCTGCGGTACACAACAAGAGGGCGACGTGATGCGCTCAGATTCGCCTCCGAACAGCGTTCGTATCCGCATAGAATAATTTCACCATTAAAAGAGGACTAACTGTACTTCAAAGCTGTAAAATTATGTTCAGCAAATGCCAAGTTGGATATTTCTTGTCAATATAGTTTAGTTAAGCAGTTCTGCAAACAAGGAGGCGGTTTACGTTTTACCTAAACCCTTACCTCAACGTCATTGTAGGAAAAAGCATCTGCAACTTCGTCGTGTGTGACTTCACTACTTGCTTCTCTGTCAAGTTCCATTTGAGCCTGTTCAAGTGGCATGTAACATGCAGATATAAGAAGACAAGACGAATCTCTTAATGAGTGCAGAACCCAAATTTTAAATGAGAGGGGGGCGAATTAATTTAAACAGATTTAGAGGGGACAAAGCTTAGGATTCAAGGGTAAAGCTTTCATACTATATATAAAATATATAATTTTTTTTTCTTAAATTTGAAGGGGTGGGGATCTGTCTACTCTCTTCCTGATTCCTCCATAAAAGTTAGCATAATCTGAAGGTTTTAACACAAGGGCATATCTTACAAGTTTAGATTTCAGTATCTGGACTTTTTCGTTCAGATTTGCAATATGATGATTCAAAGCCTGCCAATTCCAAAAATGAATAACAATTTGATCACCGATTAGGAGCATAACCAACTAAATGGAACAAAAATTAAAAAAATAGTCAATTATGCTTTCACCTCACGCCTCTGAAGTTCTATTGAGCGTGTTAGTGCCTCTCTTTTTGACAAAAGATTCTTAGGCCTCAAAATGTGTGGTCTCTGATAATTCTTTCCTCGATATAGAATGATTACATAGCCTTTGGTAGTTTTGTCAACTGAAATCAACACCCCGCCACTCTCAGCCTCAAGAGAGATAGCAATGTGCTTTACCTGAGCAAAACTTTTTTCATTGACAATTATTTTTGCTAACTCCATATGCTTCCAATTTAAGTGTATGTTTTGTATGGTACCATCAAAGACCCCACGCCTCCCTGCAAAGCAAAAGACTTTGATCCTCAAACAAAATTGTTATAAAATATTCCAAACCTCTAAAGAGATAAGTTTGTAAACATGGGGTAGGACTTTCAACAGCAACTAACAGAGGCAAAGGCTTCATTTGGGATGATTTTCTTACTGCTTCTTAAAACAGCTTTCTAGTATAAAAAATTTAATTTTTGTACTAAAAAATTGCTTTAAGAAGCAATAAGAAAGCCGTCCCAAATGAAGCCTAACAAAGAGTGTGAATTAAATCACCTAAAGGTAGATGGGATCGCATTTTAAGTCCTATTTTACGAAATAAAGCTCGCTCCTCATCAGTAACAGTTTCAAGATCAGTTGGGAGATTGGCTGGTCGCAGAGTTTCCTGCACTTTTGCCAAGGCTTTCTCAGCATTCCGCACTTTTGCAATTGCCTGTTAATCAGAAACAAATTTAAATAATTGATACTCTTTCATATAGTATATCAGGATACAGCAGTTCATGTTAATTATGACGCAATTATCTTGGAAACCTTACAAATGATAGCTTTCGCTCAAGGTATCTAACAAGAGATTCTTGTTGTGATAAGGCTAAATCCCTTCTCATTCTTTGCCTGTCCTCGCTGCTAGGTTGGTTTGCCCAGTGATTGTATGCTTTCAAAGTTTCTGCAAGAGTACCAGCAACAAATGGACCTTTAACTGCTTTAGAGTTCGAGCTAATTAAACCAGAAGCTCTGGACCGAGCTTCTTCTTCAGCATCCTGCTGAACTATAGCTAGTTTCTCCCTTTCAACTAATGTATCCCTTATACAAGGTGTCAAAAAGTCATTTCCCCGGTAAAATACAATATATTCTTTGTTCCTAGAAAGCAGAGTCCCCCCTGTCAATTCCTGTAAAAAGTTGAACCAACTAAGAGAAGTATCAAACTGAAACAACTAAAAAATTTGATAGGAAACATAAAATAACGTGTTAGTGCATACATGGAGCGCGTAATCCGTTAGATACATAGGTAAATACCTTTTTAAGATTTCTATATTTTATGGAGTCGATTCGTTACCTATCAGGTTTGTGACAAAAATTATCTTCAAATATTGTTAGGAACTGCCTTTCTCCCAACAATCTCATGAACAAATCTCATTCTTTGCATTTAACCTTCCATTAAGCACTTCGACACTAAACATAAGCAAAGGGCTCTTCCATTTTCGGCTAGGGAACTCCCACCAAGATGTTCGCCATAAATGCCACTCTGATCTTTCCAGAGTAAAATCAACTTTTGAAAGAAATTTGAAAGCCTAGCCATTGAGAAACCTCTTATAAAGTTTGTCAGTCAATTACAATGAGCTAGAGGACTGCCGAGGAGTTGAGAAGCAATGATAAGATGATCAAGGAGGAGACTGATAGGAAACACTCCACCACAACAGTGAAAACTGCTGTTTCCAAAGAGAAACAGCAATAACAGAGCAGAAAACTCGAGAAAATCAGTAGAAGCAATGGAAAATCTGAGGGAAAACACTTGAAATTCACTAGTAGAAGAAGGAAAACAGCAAGATACAATTGATCATCTATTTGAGAGGAGGATCTATCTCTCCCAAATCTCTAGACGCAGCTAGAGCCCAAAAGAAAACCTAAATCTAAGATATCTCAAATTTCAACCAAATTCAAGACGCCCAAACCCTATGAAAAAAAAAAAAAACTATTTAATGCATACAAATCAAAAGGAAATCCCTAAACAACCCTACATTCAAATTTCTTTCCTACTTCCCTAAAAAATCCTTCCTAATCTGCTCTAGGAAAATTGGGCGGTTGGATCCTACGTACAGGAGGCAGAGACTTCCGCCGTTGTTCGCATAAGCCGGTCCCGTCGGACAGGCTGGACCAGTCCATTGGATCGGTCTAACAATACTCCCCTCTCAAAGATCCACCTTGTCCACAAGATGAACCGAACAAAATTGTTGTTGAAGCACTTGACTAATACCATTGGACTGAAAATGGAGTGATACTAGATTGAATGATCCCTTTCTCCAACATCTCTCTGATCAACTTCTCAATCCCATCCTTCTAAAATTGAAGATAGCGATAGGGCCTGACATTGATGAGTGACACATCTTTTCCCAAGGTGATAGCGTGCTCCTACTCCCTTTGCGGTGGCAGTCTCTGAGGTGACTAAAAAACCTCACTGAACTGTTGAATCGATAATTGTACTGAAAGAGGGATGTCCCCACCCTCCTCCAATCTGATCCCCTCCAGCCTCTGTAGCTCCACCAGATAACCTTCCCCCACCTACTGTATGCTCCTCCAGAGATGGATGAGAAGTTGCATACCCTTTTGGCAGAAGTTTCCTTGAACTCTACGATAGGATTCACTATGAATCATACCATGAAGGTGAGGGAGAAGATAGAGGACAGGGAGGTAGTGATATTGATCGACAGTGGGGCTACCCAAAATTTCATTTCCACTCAGGTCGTCGATCAACTCGGAGTAAAATCTGTGGACACTGGCTATTATGGAGAGATGATGGGTACGGGGCAGGTGTAGAAAGGCCAGGGTATCTGTATATGATTGGTTTTGATCATCCAAATGATTCAAGTGAGGGAAGATTTTCTCTCATTGGAGTTAGGCAGTACCGATGTTATCCTAGAGATGAAGTGGCTGCAGACCTTGGGGGACACCAAGGTTAACTAGGGGGCATTGATGATGGAGCTGGTGGTAGAAGGGAGAAGGGTAGTAACCAAAGGAGATGCATGGCTCTCCAAATCCATGGTATCACTTAAAACGATGGTGAGGAGCATATAGTAGATGGGGGAAGGTTATCTGGTAGAGCTACAGAGACTGAAGGAGATCAGATTGGAGGAGGGTGGGGACATCTCTCTTTTAGTACAACAATCGATTCAACAATTTAGTGAGGTTTTTCAGTCACCTTAGAGATTGCCACCGCAAAGGGAGCAAGAGCACGCTATCACCTTGAGAAAAGATGTGTCACCCATCAGTGTCAGGCTCTACCACTATCTTTAATTTCAGAATGATAGAATTGAGAAGTTTATCAAAGAGATGCTGGAGGCAGGGATCATTCAACCTAGTGTCACTCTATTTTTCAGTCCAGTGGTATTAGTCAAGTGCTTCAACAACAATTTTATTCAGTCCACCATGCGGACAAGGTGGGTCTTTGGAAGGGAAGTATTGTTAGACCAGTCCAATGGACCGATCCATCCGGTCCTACGGGACTAGCCTGGGAGAAAAGAGGCAGAACTCGCTGCCTCTCCTGTACGAGTCGTGCAAGCTGCTGGATCCCATGGAGTAGTTTAGGAAGGATTTTTGAGAGATTTAGGAGGGAAATTTGAATGTATGGACTATTTAGAGATTTCCTTTTGGATTGTATGCATTAAATAGTTTGTTTTCCTAGAGTTAGGGCATTTTGAATTTGACTGAAATTTGTGATATCTTAGATTGAGGTTTTCTTTTGGGCTCTAGCGGTGTTTAGAGATTTGGGAGAGATCGGTCATCCTCTCGAATAGATGATCAATTGTATTTTGTTATTTTCCGTTTCCCTTTCATCAAATAATATAAATTATCTACTGTTTTTGTGATTTTGTGAGGATTTTTGTGGAAACTTCTCGCTGTTTTCCAAAGATTGATAGGACATACTTGAAATCTACAAGTGTTTCCTATCATATTGTCGTGATCCAGTAACGCAATCAATATAGAGTTTTGTGAGGTAGATCAATGGGCAAAATTTTGAGGAGGTTAATCACCTTGTCATTCATATCTGATAAAAATAGATAGTAATGCTATTTAAGAATGACATGAAACTCTCCCTCATCTAAAGATAACCGCTTCAAGGCAAACATCTTTTATTGAGATGGAGCATGATAATTGTGGTAATTTGAAGATGTGCAACTTCATGAATCTTTTACAACTAAAAATGAGCATGCCAGTGACAACCATAACTGTAGGAGCACTCCTCGCCATCTTCACCACCATCAATTCCTTCCACAAGCATTAAAGGATGAAGCTGACCAAGCAAACCCAAGCTCTAGGCCAAACTTCTTCAGGGTTGGTTTGATCTAGTTTGAGCACTTGCTTGTTTAGTTCATGTTTGTACGAAATTTGCTCGAGAACGTGTGAAATTCAAGGGCAAAATCAAGAGCTAATTCGATCAAATTGAGCTAAATTTGTTATAAGTTCTTCGGGATTCATGATGCAAGTATAAAACTGTGCATGAACAAACACGGATTTCTACAAAGTGGATAAATGAACATATAACATCTTGAAAACTTGGCTGCAAGTAATTTTCTTTAACCTACCTTAATCTCTTCTGCCATCCTCTCATTTGAAGTATTTTGTACACCACGCTTAATAGCTATTTTTGCTATAGCACTTGTCTCCCACAACTTTACCATACCATTGGCCAGCCCTTGAAGTTGTTTGTTTCTTCCTACAATGAGAAATTTGAAGATATAACAGGACAACGTCCCTTGGTAGTAATGAAAATAAAGAGTGACTGATCAGGTAAATAGTTAATGCTCTTACCAAGAGCAAAATGAGGAGCCATAGATCTGGCAATCCTCCGAAGAAATGTCATTTGCCTGTTCGTAAGGCTTCTTTTGGTTTTGTATGGAAGAAGTCTGAAAGGAGGTTTGTAACCAGGAACCATGCCAGGAAGCAAGTCAGCATCAACAGGAAGTGGGTCACGACCAGACCAATCTGTGTACCTCGGTCCCAATTGGTTTAAAATAGAATCAATATGAGAAGCATCTGAAGAAACTTCAAATGTTCTTGCACTAGATAACTCAATATCAGCAGCAGATTGCTCCAAAACCTTTATTGTGCCCTTGGTTACAACAGAATAATTTGAGTATGCTGAACCATCCATGCTAGAAGTAGTTTCAGAAATTCTTGAAAATGAGCGTGCACAGGTAAGCTTGTAGTTCAGACCTCTGTACAACACAATTGAACTTCCAGACCTCCAAATTGCAATGCCTCCTGTTTTTGTCTGATTAGGAATGAACTTTTTTTTAATATTCGAGTCAAGAGAAGCTGGATAAAATAAATAGCAATTTATAGAAGCAAAACATTCCTGACATATAACATTACAAACAAAATTCACAAGATCAATGAAAGCTTCAAAATACAGATGAAAGTCAACAAGCTACTAGCTAGCATGGGCCTCAGCTAATCGTGGAAACTGTTATTAGCAGTGGAAAAAATGAATGCCTTATTTTAGTTGAGCCAATTATAAACAATGTAGACCATCAAGATAGGAGCTTGCTAGGAGGTTCAGAAAAGGGCTTCGATGCAGAGCGCTTTCAATGCATGAGCACTAAAATTTCTTATGATGCTCAAGTTACCTTTGAAGTAAAATTACGACCAATGTAAAATATGAACAAAAATTATCTTAAAGAAGGTGTTGCATGGTAAAGCCGTCTAAGGGCATCTCCAACTGAAAAACTCATCTTACACTCTAAAATGAAGTAAAATTTCAAAATAATGTAATTCATCTCCAATCGAACTTCATTTCTCTCCTCTTTCGTGCTCTTCCTGCAAAGGTAACAATCTCTCTCCTCTTTCATGTGCTTTTTCTCCTCTTTCCCACTCTTCTTCGGCAAATTTGCAAGCGAGGATTTTTTGGCGTAGCTGAACAGTCCGACATCAATATTGGGGTCGCACTGTTCACCTACCGAATTTAAGATGTGAGATTTGGAGTTCGAATGCAACGAATGGCGGATGGCATATGGTAGTATTCAGTTCAGTGGGAGATTATCTAATACTTCAAATTTCATGGTTCCATTCCACAATACTAATTACAAAGAGAAAAAGAAAAATATAACAGCACCTATGCATGAAAAAAGAAAAAAAGCCAACCTCCAGAATGTCATTTGTCCTCTTCATGTTGAGACTTGGTGGACCTTCTATATATAACTTGACCACCTCAACCTCCTTCCATTTCTGAAGAATATTTTCTACAACAGCTTCGGTAACCCCAGCAGGCCCTACCCTCAGTCTCTCTTTCAGTCTCATTGCCTCATTCCTAAGCCTACGCAGCTCAGGCTCTGGAATGGTCCTCTCAGCCATATCAGTGTTACTTCTTCTGCGAAGAGGATCTATCTTACTAACACCATCCCCATCCCCCCAAGGGAATGATGAAGAACCACTGGAATTATCACTATCAAACAACGAATTTGTCGGAACATTTTCATGATATGATCCAACATAACTTCTAGCATCTTCTTGATTACAATGATCCATTGTTTCTTCCAGCTTTTCAATTTTTGCGCTAACCCTACTCTTTGGACGCTGTGCATCACATTTAAACGCCTGAGATGGGACCGTAGATGCGGCATCAACGTAAAACTGGGATTTCGTTGTTTCGGCTATAACAGTTGGCAAAAAAACATCTCCTAATTCTTGCTTCTGAAGTTCCACACCCATCCTAATGGAAGAAGAAATAGTTCTCCTACTATAACTAGGGCTCTCTTCATTAGTACTGTCGGTCAAATCAGGCTGACGCGCTAAAAACAACTTACTGTGTGCCAAACTGGAGCGTTTGGATTCCGCTGGCTGTGGCCTAGGAGCTGATGACAAAGGCATTCCCAACTTGAAGCGGTTATCTTCGGTTTGTGAATTGTTCTCAACCACATCATGCTGTGAGTCCTTCGGCCTCGCAAGATTGCTAGACTTGGGCAGCTTTACTAAGTGGTCCGATGAATGGACTTCTAGGTCCAATCGCGCGGATCCGGATTTCGTCCTGCCGTCCAAGAAAACTACACTCGTTCGATTATTTAAAGGTTCCACAGGCAAACCTCCAGCTACAGAACCATGAACGACTTTCTCCCCGCGTTCCACCTGTTGTTCCTGCCATGGTAATTTGGTCCTCTGGGATGAGATCTTGACGGACCATTTCTTTAAGGTTTGGTGGTAGAAATTGGGCCGAAGCTCCTTTTTTGTCTTTTTCTTCTTATCCTTCTCATTGTCACTCTTGTTATCTCCAGCAGAAGATTCAGCTTCCAGGCGTTCTCCCGGACTGGTTTGGGGATGATGGATTGGGAGATAGGCTTTGAGTACGACAGAATCGAAGTGAGAAACATAGCTGATTCTGGACTGAATAACGGGGAAGAATGTGGAGTGCGAAGAGGGGGGGATTAGAGAGAGATTTTGGAGAACAGCGGCGTGAGACGCCATGAAGGGGAACCCGGGGGGTCGGAGCTCTTGACTGTGCAGCACAACTTAGATAAACTAGCTTTATTGTTGGAGTTGCTAGAATTTAAAAAAAATATATATTACAAGAATGTTAATAATATTGTATATTAAAAAAGATTTAGTTGAATTTGTGCTTCCATAAATCATAATTGCACGTGCACATTTATATTTTTTTTACTTTTATTTATGAATTAAAATATTATAAAAAAATAATTATAATAATAATTATTTACATCAATATCAATTCTATTGAATTGAATTTAATAGAAATATTATTTTAGCTTCCAATTAATTTTGAGTGCTTTTAGCATAATAGTATTTGAGAAAATAATATGATTGAATGAACATTAGAAGTAATTTAGAAATACAATTTGAATTGAGTTAGCATCCTATTAGTTGAAGCAGAATTTACCAATCAAAAAACAATCTGCAAAGTTGAAAAAGCTTTATAGTGTAGGAGTTGTAAAGAAAGTAACAAAATGATTGATAGCTATAATTGATCGTTGCTGCAATACTGTAGGAGAGCTGACTATTATTTTCTAAGAACTTTTATAATAGAAGTCCAGATAGGTGTGTGAGTTGAGCTTTAGGATAAATTGTTAAAAATCATAATCATATAGCTTATCAATATCACTAAGATTTTGGCTTTGTTTGGAAAGGTTTTCTTTCTCCTTCTTAAAGTAGTTTTTTAGTTCAAAAATTTTAAATTTTGCACTAGAAAGCTGGTTTAAGAAGCAGAAAAAAAGCCATCTCACACGAAGCCTTCATTTGAGACAACTTTCTTATTATTTTTTAAAGTTGTTTTATAGTACAAAAAATTATAATTAAAAAAAATTGTACTAAACAGTTATCTTAAAAAAATAATAAAAAAAACCCCAAATGAAGCCTAAAACTCTAAATCATAAAAATAAACATTAAGCAACACCCTCAATGATGGATTCAATAATCAAATTTCATAATCAGAGTTGTCCACCAAATTAATAAAAAAAAAACACAACATATTTCAATAATTCAGCCTTAATATGGATATGATCATCCTCCATCAAAATCAGAGAAAATTCTTACCATAAAAATCATCCATCATGTCATTTCATTATATCTCAACCATCACAACAACAAAAAAATCAAGCTAATATGGATGTAATACATGCCCCTTTATTGCAAAATATCTTTTTGCATCCAATCTAATTTATTGCAAAATAAAGCATTATTGAGCCTATAGACTAAATGCACTTAAGAAGTCCTGTAAATTGCAAAATGGTACCTAAATCATTGTAATTCCATCAAGGAAATAAGAATGAAACATCTCAAAGATGGAGCAATAATTATTTTTTGAGAAGGAAAATAATGATAAAAGTGAGAAGACTGGATGATCAAAATGATTTGCAAGCCTTCAAGTGAGTTGTTGAATGCTTCAGAACACATCTGCAAAACACGATTGATAGCATTAGATGCTAAAGAAAATAATTTGAATGCAGAAGGAAAGAAGGTTTCTTGCTGTTTGGCTTGAAGGAATTTTGAAAGAGAAGGAAATGGAAATGATAATGAACTGAATTGAAATTAGTTTCAACACAATAGTTTGATTGGTAAGAAGTTTGATATATTATATGGAAAAGCATAGCATGTAATAATAATTTAGGTTAGCTTTCTGAAGCTACTCCACTCGTTTCTGCATTTTCGTTTAAGAGGGGGAGAAAATAACATGAAAATTATGCATTTTTTGGCTAAAAATTAATAAGAAAAAATTGAAATCGGAAGAAACCTTAAGACACGAGGATTTGCTAGAAAATGGTCAATATGCAGATGCAATGCCTTCATATGAGTTGCTGAATGCCTTCAGGTTGCCTGGGCGAGACAAAACAATCTGCAAAGTTGAATGAGAAATAATTATTGATAAATGCTGAGGTTAGATAATAAAAGTAGAAGCTTTGGTTTTTGGGTTGCTTTAACACTGAAAACTAATGATGAATATATATATATATATAGAGAGAGAGAGAGAGAGTTTGAAAGACAAATTTGTAAAAATTAATAAAATTGTAGATAAAATTAAAGCTTAAAAAGATGGTTGTTGATGCTAAGATTATTAATGTTACAAGCACTTATGCTCTTCAAGTAGGTTTGAATGTGTTCAAAATTAAAAATTTGGAATGATTTAGAAGAATTAATATAAAAGACACCTCTCGAAGAAAGTTTTTATTGGAGAAGATTTAAATGGACATATTGGTAGAAAGTTAGATGATTTTAAAAGCATTCATGGTGGCTATGGCTTTGGAGCAACTAATGAAGATGGTAAGACCATATTAGATTTGTCTATAGCTTATTATTTTGTTATTACTAATATCTTATTTAAAAAAAGAGATGAGCATCTAGTCACTTATCAGAATGAATATAATAAAACTCAAATCAATTATTTTATTAAAAGAAAAATCTATCGTTTAGACTAAAACGATTTTAAAGTTATTCCGAGTGAAAGTTTGTGTGTCAAACATCGCTAGACTTTAAGATGAAGGGATATAATATAAAAAATAAAGTAAATCATTGTTCAAAGATTAGATGCGGGCATTTGAAGAATATTTGAATATTCAATGGAAAATGATTCATGTAGGCGACCCCACATAGTGGGATAAAGGCTTGTTGTTGTAATAATTTTGTCCATCCTAAAATTTAAAGCTGGTTCCACCCCTGCTCTACTCCATTCCCCTTCGATTTTCAACAATGATTACTGCTCTGCACTGTAGCTAGTAGAGTATTTCTGCTTGAAGCAGAGGGAAATGGCATTAGGTTTTAACTTGGTTATTACACAGTGTTTCAAAATGAAAAGAACTCTCTTATTCTTTGTTGAAGCAAAACACTGCTTGGTCTTCACCTCACTGTTCTCAATCATTTTCTACGCTATATTAGCAATACAAGTTGAATGGCTGTCGCTCCTTAATTCACGAAAGCAGAGCGTGATAATAATTTTGGGGAGAAGACAACCATGTTTCATGGAAGATACAATTGAAATAACTTGTTTGTTAGTTCAATGGAAGTGAAATCTAAAAATTTTCACCAGGATAAAAAAAGGTATCTAGGGATGTGATTTACTGTATTGTAGGGGTTAAAAATCTTCACAGGATAAAATGAACAAAGATGAATTGACAAAATCGAGATGGTTGAACTCGTATTGTAGTCATGGAAGTGGTTATTTCTAGTTAACTTTCATAACAATTCTCAATAAATAAGACATCAAGAAAGTAAGAAAAGATCTTATTATTCTGTACATACCTGATAATTCCCAAGGGTACGTGATTTAAAACCTGCAGCACAATATATAAAATAGTAATCCCATGTGCGCATGAATTTATCATCAAACCCCAGTGAAAGAATCTTACTGCACAAAAGAGTAATATTCATTGATAACTTGTGGAGAAAAGAAATATTGTTTTAAGACTTGCAGCTCACAAGCAAATTGATTATATGGAATATCTTATATAGACACAACAACATGTGTTGAAGCAATGTGAGTTCATCATCAATTAAGACTTGGAACATAAATTTCTAAATGTATCATAAATGAAAATAAATAAAGACGAAACCTATTAAGGAGTTGTTTGATAGGATTATTAGGAGTGAAAACCAAATGCAGGGGTTATGATATTTTAGGTGTTTGATTTGAAGAAAAATAAATGCACCTAATGTTTTTAGGAATCACTTAGTTCATTTTCACAGGATTCTGAATTCACCTAAATTAGACATTCAAAATATGCGGCATCCCGAGACTATCGTGCATGACCTTTGCTCTCTTGCCACTAGTTGTCACTCATGAGACTCACTAGATCACCTCTCTACTAGCTCGCCATCGTAAGACCCTCCATCCCTGCAACCTATATCACATGACCAAAAAGCAATGCTCAGTCCCTACAACCTCACCGCTTGCATGATGGGCTCGCAACTCACCCCACAATTGTGCCCTAAATTTATTTATTATTTAGATTCATCCAACCAAACTCAAGAAAATGTTCTCTTGAATTTATTTTACTATCAACATTTTACTTCCAACCAAATTTAAGAAAATAATCTATTGAATTTATTTTACAATCAACCAAACAAAATTACTTCAAATGTACTGTATTTATTTTACACTGCATTTAAAACTCCTTGAATTCTAAATACAGCCACTAGACAATGCAAAGTCTTTCCTGAAAACATTAGAAGGTTCTATTAAACATGCAAGAATCTTACAAATTAATTTTCTATAACCAAGTTTAACCCTCAGAACAAATTCTCCAAAACAAATCATTTTGACTGCTCAAGCGGATGATTACACTATAATTTCAGTACAGCTTGCATGATCATGGCTGTATGTGCAGAAGTATCTGATGCAGAAAATTATTGAAAATAACCAATGTAGAGGAATGCATACCGCCGGTTAGCCATAAAATTGTTTCTCCAGCATGTAAGTGTCTGATAGTAGTGTATGCCAATATTTTCCACATGCTCAATGCTACATAATACCCAATAAAAGAAAGTATTAAAGAATATGATAACTTTTGAACTGTGTTTCCTATGCAACAATATGCATGCTTGAATAATCTTAAAATAGTTAAAATTGTTCTCCAAAAAGTAGCTGAATGGTCAGTTTGCCCACCAGAGTTTAGAGGAGGCAGTCATAGCAGAGGTTATTATACTCAAAGAAGGAAGACATCCACCAGGAAAAATATACTCCTTTATAAAATCAGAGCTTCTCCTGTATTCCTGATATCTTTGATCAGGAATTGAAATAAACTGTGCAAATAAAAATAAAAAATGTAAATATACCATGAAATGGCTTTAACAGAAATTATATTGTCCAATACTTATTCACATTTTAAAAATTCGAAGAAAAATTGATTACGGTAACTGTCAGTTTGCAGCAGCTTCAGATTTATCATTTTTTCTGATTCAAAGAAACATTTAATCATTATCATTAATGTACTGGGTGGGTTTTGTTTCAAGTTGGAAAAGTACACATGTTTACATGCTTATCTAAGTTTGTATAAACCCATGAGTGGGTACACTTGCCCAAAAAAATTTTAAACGGAAATCGAATGAACACATGCCCTAATGGAAATTGAATATGATCAACCATAAGCAAGAGGTTGCCTCGAAAACAGTACTCCATTAAAGAAAACAGAGAAGCCCATTGGTCTAGCTAGCATCATGGCACCCAGATTCAATTGATTCACAAAAATGTAGAAGATCTTGTGATGAGGATATCTGGCCGTGAAAATTTTATCAGAGGAAGGGCCGGAGATCTACGGCTAGGATCGGATTGCTCTATTTCTGAGCAATTATTTTGTATTTGATTTATTATGTATAATTTTTCGAGAGTCGTTTGTCATTTGATGTTTTATGGTATTTTGTCTATTTATAGGCCTCACCTCCCCTTGGGAAGGGAGATGATGATGAATGAATGAAAATTGTTGCACTTTATGTTTTGGTGCATTTGAGAGTTTTTGTGAGAGCGCATGTGAAGTCCCTAGGTGAGGGCAAAGCAAGACCTGTAAGCTGCAGGAAGCGTCCGGACTCACGGTTTATCAAAGCCTCCATTCCCCATCAAGCTCAGCATCCTCACATCCAAGTCTAGCCGAATCGTCACCCGCAAATCTCCTTGTCCGATCCACTATAACCATTTCTCTCTTCCTCCTAACCGCTACCTCCCGCCCACCCTGATGCATCACTATTGAGAAATATTAAGGTCGATGCCCCCACTTTTGACGGCACACTTGATCCCCAGCTCTTTCTGGATTGGATCAAGTGCATGGATAGCTTTTCAAATGCTACAATATATCTGAGGCTAGAAAAGTGAGATTCGGCGAGATAAAGTTCACCGGTAGGGCCAGCAATATTAAGCCAACCTAGAAAGCCTTAGGGAGTCCCGCAATGAGTTTGTCATTACCAATTGGACTGCTATAAAGCGTGAGCTCAAGCAGAAGTACCTGCCTCCATCGTATTTCCCTAGGCTTCTGGATATGTGGAATAGGCTAACCCAGGATAGTAAACATGTGAATGATTACATTGCAACTTTTGACGATTACATGATTCGCTACAAGAGTGAGACCTCGACTACCCTCGCCCAGATCTTATCCATCTCCTTCATGATAGCAAACTTTTAATCGATCTTCTCATGGATGTCTGAAAATTACTTTTTGAAATTTGAATCTTTTCTACAAAATAAGATTTCAATTGCCCGATCTCCCCTTCCAGTACTTCTACCTTTCTCCCCATATAGGTACCCGGATTTAGGCTCCAAACAGCAAAAGAAACAACAAAAAATGACGAATATGGTCTTCCAACAGCAAAATTCAGCAAGACGGAGAAAACAAACATAACAGAAATTAACGAGGAAGACTTATTTTTTAGCCCATAACACGGCTCTGATACTAATTTGATAGGAAGTGGATGCAATTTCAGCAAAAACAAGAAAACAACATAAGAAATTTAGAAAGAAGAACACACAATAACTCTTTTTTATTGAAAGAACTAAGAATAAAAATATAAGATACAATTGGATCTTCAATTGGAGAGAAAGATCTAGCTCTCATAAATCTCTAGCCGTCAGCTATAGCCCACTCAACCTAAGTGAAACTAATTCCAGTAAAATCAAGCATAACCTAAAATCACCACATAGTTAACCTTAAATAGGCTCCTCTAACTCCCTCTAAATCAACTCCCTTTCCCTAAATAATTCTCTCATATTTGAATTCAAATTAGATCTCTTTCCCAAATTAATTCTCTCCCAATTGTAATTAAAACTTTCTTAAACAATTCCCCCTTAATTCTTCCTTACATAATCAATATTAACTCCCATAAGCTTTCCCTAAATAATTCCCTCTCATATTTGAAATTCAAATTAGATTTCTTTTCCTAATTAATTTCCTCCCAATTATAATTAAAACTTACCTAAACAATTCCCCCCTCTCTCTTCTTACCCGCCGCCCACCCTAGTGGGGCCTAAGGCTCAGCCTCCAGTCCATCAAAATCCTATTTAAATTACTTATTATTTCTCAATATTTATTAATATTTTATCTATTCAATTTTATACAATGATTTTAAGATATAAAAATGTTAATACCGTATGCAATGTGTATGTGTCCTATATTTTCAATAATTGGCATGTCATGTGTCCATGTCGTGTCATGTGTTTGTGTCGCCATGTCTATGTCTGTGCATCATAGGTCATCGCCTTCATTCACAAGGTCCCCAGACAGAGCAACATATCAAAGTTTTTCAGGCGCTACAATGCTTTTCAGATGCACTTTCAAGTGAACCATATATCACTTCCACAAAGATAGCTTAGATGGTAAGTGTTAAAATTTCAACGGTCCCTTGGCCCTTAATCTCATGGCCAGGATGAGATCCATGGAAGGCTCACCTGGATCACGACAATCTCCTTCCATATTCGGGTGGCTGATTCAGGAAGGATTATTTTAGGAAAATTATACATTATTCTGAAGTTATTTGTTTCTTTATAAAGATATCTAGTATAATCTATAAATAGGGATAGTTTTGTGTAATAATATTAAGCCTTTTCCCTCTCAAATTCTTTAAATTTAACAGTAAGATATATGGAAAGAACAAAAAGTGGAGAATGCAATAAAAGATAAAGTTAAAATGATCAAAGTTTTCTATATAATAACATTATAAAAATGCTATCAATTTAGTCAGATACCAATTTCTAGAATTAAACAATTATCAAACAACAACTTGTGATAATCAACAACTTGTTTGTGGTAGTCAAGGACTAGAATCCTAAACCAGAAATTCAACTTAATATGAGAAATAAATAAAAATATCATGGGAGCAACCAAAAAAACGAAAAACGTTAAGCATCCACCTGCAGAACAATTAAGCCATGGTCAGCAAGAAGTTTCTCGCAGCAGCCAAAAAATTGTCCCAGGTATTCATGGCCAACTCCTTCAATCATCTCACTGCAAGATAAATTTAGTTTACCGAATAGCATGCAAGCATAATAATTGAAATATAAGAAATCAAAACAAATCAAATAAGAAGATATTTTATTTAATTGACCAAACAAATAGGGCTGAGAGAAATTTATAAAGAGGACAACATTCCTTTTCTCTTATTACATCAATCAAATCTTCTAAAAGAGAAAAGTAAATATGAGAAAACATGGAACCTGTTGAAAAACTACTGAAATCAATTAAGGGAAAGCCCAAAATACAAGTGCTACTTTACAATTCAAATTTCAACACTCACTCTTAAGCTGGATGGTTTTGTCATTCCCATTCTCCCGAATTTGTCCAAGAAAGAGCCTTGGTGAGAATATCTACTATTTTATAATGAGTAGTGATGCGGACATCCAACCGTCCATGCTTATCCGAGGAGCTGAAGATCGACGGCCGAGATCACTTTATTTCATTTCAGTTTATTAAGTGTATTTTTATTTAATTTTTGCAATTTCCCTTTTTACCCTCTTGTCTTATGTAAGCCCAAGGGGCAAATGTGTCTTTTTTACATTTTCTGTTTGGAAGGCCTATAAGTAATTGGACGCGGGAGCCTATAAGCATGGTTTTAAATCCGATTTAAACTGTACAGTCTAGTTTTGTTTCTTCTGTCGGTCAAAAGTGTATGAATGGCTTACATAGAAACTTAAGCGTCTCTTTTTGTTTTGATGGTGTAGCTAATTGTTGGTTACAGTTTGTTCTATAAATAGAGCCTTTTAACTTGTAATAGAGATTTGGATTATGAGATGCAATAAAAATTTGGAGTTAGTTTTTTACACTGGCTTTTGGGGTTTTCTGTATCTGAAGGATTTTCAGGTGGTGATCCCCATCTCATTCCAAGGCAGAGTTCTTTGGTCGTAGTGCACAACGGAATTTGTCAACGTGGATTCGATGAGCCCTCACGGTCGGTGGTCAGATTTTGGTATCAGAGCCCAGCACACGTTGCTGGCGTTTCTTTTTTTGTCGACGATATCGCCGTCCGATCCGTTCGCCGGGTGGGTCATGTTATGGTAATTGTTCTCACTCAGCCGAGTGCTCACAGTGGAAGAACGGAAACCAACAGCCAACAGAGGATTCCTCTGTGGTTCGTGAAAGGACGTCGTTTGCTAGATGCAGTCCAGGGATCGTGGTCAAATCATTGCGCAGAATCACATCCGGTTTTCCCTCAGAAAAGCCAAGATTTGTGTTTCCTCCTATGGTATTTTGTAACCGGATGCCTTGAACAAAGGAGGCGCCAAGAAAAAAAATCATTTTGGTGGCTATCCACGTAGACCAAATAGATCCCTGTTGGTTAAGCAATCTATCATCCTATCCAGGCAGGACTTCAACAAGAATTATTTTTGAAGTGAGCGTCGGATTTTCCGGTTGCCTAAAGAGGATCGTGCCGTGAAGCAGTACGTTACTTCGGCACGGGTTTCCGCTGGTTTGAGCGAGGGGGAACGCCGGAGGGCTGAGTCTGGAAGGGTGGTTGCAGAGCAACTGGGCCGAGGAGAACAAAGAAGAACCGGGCTTATAGAATTGGGAAGCGGCTCCGGAGCAGATCTTGCTTGCCTGTTTTGGAATATTGTTCTTGAAACGGAGAAAGATGCATTCCATGGACTGAGAAGGGATCAACATTCAAAGATGAAAGAAATCGACAGATCTTCTAGCACGTGAGAATTGGCACGGACTCAAAAACATACGACCTATCAAGATTGAACGAAGGGAAAAACTTGAGGTCCCTCTTGGCCGGAGACTGTAATGGTGTCCGGGGCAAGTTTATGCTGCCCACAGAGATGGCTTCAGATCCTTCGTTTTAAGAACAAAATTCTTCCGAAGACGGCGTCGACGGAGGGATTGCAGATGAATTCAAGTCTCTTCCTACCCCGCTGGGATCGAGTTCAACCTTCGAAGAAGTATGAAGTCCGTTGTTGCTGATTCGTCGTCTTATGCCAATCTTTGAATGCAACCGTTGTATGACGTGTACGATGACGAATGTTCAAATGAAGTTCTTGATCTAGAGCAACCCCGAAATATGATGAATGATGATGAGAGCAGGTGGATACACCTTTGGAGATTAAGCATTCCTATCATTCCTAATAAAACAACAAATATGCTCACGTCGCACTGCTAGGGAAAGTTGGTCTGATGCAACCGGACCACGACAATCACCTTGGCACCTTCATACATTCGACACAGAAATCCTTGGGGTGGCCGATCGTTTGTGGGATGAGGATATTTACATAGTTTGATCAGTTTTGACGGTCAAGTCAATTCCAACTCTGAAGAGTGTCATTTGCAATGAATGCTACGACTTTCCACCTTATGTTTGAAAGTCTCTTTCTAGATGGGAGAAATGACACCGGGGGACCTATCCTGCTGATCAAGTTTTAGCCACCAAATCCACCTCTTATGGTGGCCAAGCGGAACATTTTTCTATGAGCCTGAAGTTCCCTCCTACACCGGTAGTATGACGCCCGGGAGCTAAGCTGGTTTTTATCCGATTAAACTTTCATTAGTTTTAGTTTCTTTTTGGGTAGTGTTATGTGCTACATTAGAATTAGCTCTTGTTTTTGTTTTGAGTGTAGCCTAAATTATGGGTTAATTTGTCTATAAATAGGAGCCTTGTACCTTGTAAATAGAGGATTGATTTGGAGATGAAGTAAAATTGAGTAGTTTTTTTACACACTGCTTTTGGGTTGTGTTTGTCTGTTATCGCTGAAAGGATTTCAGGTGGTGTATCCCTCTCTTCAAGGAAGTCTCTTGGTTCGCGTCACCGGGTTGTGCGGTGGATGTCGTCGAGCCCTTCAGGTCCGGTGTCATATATAGACGGCCCCTTCTCTTTGTAATTTGGATGATGAATTATTGATATGAAATTTTATGTTCTTGTATATCTCTTAGTGAGTTTTCATGGTGATCTCTTAGTGAGTTCACTCTCCTCGATTCTTAGTGAGTTCGGTAGGAAAAAAACTAGATTCTTTGTGAGTTCTAGGGTTTCTTGTATTTCATTTCCTTTTTAGTTTCTCTTTGATCCTTATTCTTGTTTGTTGGGGATCAGAGTCTTCAAGATTAACAAGGTGGTGGATCGCAACGAAAATCCTCAAGATTTTCTCCTCTTCCCCTCACGGCTTGCTATCACCGACCCCTTGACCATCCAGACACCGGCTACAAGGTCCAACCCGCCGGCCTTGGCCAGGCTCTCGCGCCTGGCCCATCTCACCAGCAGCGCCGGCCAGCTCCAGCCGCGGTTCCCCTCCCACTTGCGGCCTCCTTCTCCCCTCTTCTTTTGAATTTTAAATATGAAATTTAGGAGTTTCATTAGCCATTAAATGTTTAATAAATTGCCTCCTTAATTCAAGCAATCAAAATAAATTGAAATTGAATTTCGAATTTGAAATTCAAATTCAATCCAACTGATTGTTTTAATTTAGGAATCTTCCTTCCTTATTAAATCTGAATTTTTAATTTCAGATTTTGTAAAATCTGATATTAAATTGGTGGTCCCCACTCTCTCAAAACTCATCCCCTCTCTCCTCCTCATGTGGCCGGCCCCTTAATGGCCTCCCCTCCCTCTCCTAATTACATTAATGACTCCACAAAATCAGCCCAACTTTCTCCCAATTGAATGAGCAATAATCCTCCTCTTTAATTTGGGAATTCAAAATTGGATTTCACTTAATTTTCCCTCCCAAATCACTTAATCTGAAATTTAATTTCAGATTTTCATTCTCTCCCCAAATTGATTTGGGATTTAATTAGTCTTGCCACCTAGGCAAGTAAATGGCGTTTCCGTTTCACATCAAGTAGTGGTATGTTGAAGAGATATAATCCCACCAACTATCATTTCCTCAATAAAGTGTTGATCTATTTCAATATTTTTGGTCACATGATAATGCAACAGATTTTTGAAATGCCTATTGTTGCATTTTTATTATCACATGATTATCTTATTGGCTCTTCTCTTGAGATGAACAATGCACTAAGAAGTCATGTCAACCACATTGCTTCCCAAATTCTATGGGTCACTGCTCTAAAATTAACTTTTGCACTACTTTTGGGCAACCACAAATTACTTTTTCTTATGCCAAATGACTAAGTCCCCCAAACTAAAAACAAAGTACCCTAAACTGGACATAAGATCCATAATTGAGCCTACCCAATTAGTATTAATAAAAAACCTTAATCTTTCTCTCAAAGTTAATTTTTGAAGAACAATCAATTTCCTTAAGTTTTTTTTCAAATATCTAAGAACAATAAAAATAAGTTTCATATCTTTTTAGTATGATTATTCATAAAGTGATTAATCATACCAACTAGAAATCTAATATGAAGACTAGTGTTAGGAAGAAATTTATTTGCCAACAAGTATTTAATATATACCTTTATCCATTAATTATTGTAATCACTAGCTCCAACTTTAGCAATTGATCCATGAGAGTATCGTTCGATTTATATCACAATATACATGTATCTTTTAGAAGATCTAAGGCATATTTGTGATTCAAGGTTGAGATGCTTTTTGTGATGAACATCTCCATAAAAAAGAAATGTTTAATCTCAAATTCTTTAGCTATAAGTTTCTTGAGTCCAATAATCTTCTGTAAGGATAATGCCGTCTACATAAATAATTAGAATAATAGTTTTCCCTCCACGTGATCTTTCAATAAAGAGGGTGATCAATTTAACATTGCCTATGCCCATAAAATTGGACCACTTCGGTGAATCAATAGAACAAAGTTTGTCAGGATTATGTTAAGCGATATAATGAAACGTTCATGTGGACTTATTCAAGATCACTGGCATGTAGAGAAATATCTCTTGATAGTCAATTCCATAGGACTATGTGAACCTTTTTGCAAAATATGTGCCTTGTACCTATCTATGTTCCATCAATCTTCTATTTAACTGTTAAATCTATTTGTAATCCCCTTGTTGCTTTCCTAGTGACAATTTTGTAATGCCCCGAGTCTTTTCAAGAGTTAGAT